CAGGAAAATCTTATACTGCGGCTGAACTCACAGGATCTGATACCGCTGAGAGCTGAAATAGAGCTCAAAACTCATTACAGTGAGGGAGAGACATAAATTATCTTCGCTAGTAAACAAAGTTGGGAAACTCATTAATAATGTATTACCATATTCTAAACAACTGCCACTAAAACTTTTTGAAATCTACTCTGGTAATAACCCCATGAAAGTTTTGCTGCTGTGTACATTGAAGCAATAATAGATCTGCAGAAAGTTTAATGCCCTGTTGTTCCCTGTGGTGAAATTAGGCGAGTAATACGATGATTGAAGCGGCTTCATTGCGATCACTTAGTCTTAATGAGTGTGTTTGCTCAGTGGTCAGTGATCAAATATAGGCTTTATTTCATTAAAGAGCAGGTGCCAGATACACACAGGACATCAGCCTGCTGCAAAACACAGCTGCTGTGTCCCCTCCATTGTACGTCTCATTTAATGTCCCCCCTATGCCTGTAGTTAGTGTAACGTTATCACTGCAGTAATGTACGACGCACATACTATAACTTTAGATGAATAAGATCTTCCCTGGTTACCCACTGAATACATTCCATGGCTTATTGTTGCCTTGGATCTGGCTGATAAAAAACATAGAATTATCATTATGTATTATCAATATTGTGGCTCCACCTGAAGAGCCACAAGCCATGTCCTGTCACACCTCTGGAGCTAAGCAGGGCATGGCCTGGTAAGTACTGTGATGGGAGACGTCTGGGAACACCAGTTGTCATAGTGGGGCGACTGCAAAAGACAAAACTGTTGTTTTGTGTCCTTAGGCAAGACACTTCACCTACATTGCCTAGATTCTCCAACCCTTTTCACCCAGAGACCTAAGGATGATATAGGCTGAGAGCTACTCCTTTAAGTGGCCCTGGGAAAAAAGTGGTGATATATTGGTGTGAACAAGCCTCATTATTTATCATCGCATATTTGTTACTAGTGCACAAATTAAGTGCATTTACAAAAACAAATAATGATAATGAATAATACAATCTGAAATATTAAGTATATTATTTGATTTGTTCATTTCTAAATCCTTTGGCGAGCTGGTGTGTGCATGACTGGCTGGTGGTCGGAGGGGCTGATGGCACTTACTAATTTCACATAATTTCTTTTGAATGTTTAATATTGATGCTGGTCAAGCCCACATTGAATTGTTGCTGCACAGACAATATCGAAGGGGACTGGTAATATTTAGATGATATCCATTTGTTGTCATTTGTATGATCACAAAATGTCATTCAAGTTGAGGGTTACTTCTAGCCATTTGCCATTATATATCAGGTTGAGAGGTGACTCTGCTCACATGAATAATAAAAATACAAGGAGCTATGTTATGCAAGATTGATAGATTTAATGCAGTGATGATATGTATTATTTTTCTAGAATAGCCAGTATGTATCCACGCTCTGCAGCTATGATAAAATGCAAAATTCCCCTCAGCTTTCAGTGGTCATCGCTTTGCTAAATCAGTGCATCTTGAACACGCTTGAAGCAATGCAAGAAAAGTCAGTATATAAGATTTAGTCTACTGCTTTTTATTGTTCAGCTTCACATTCCCCTGGGCTTTGTATCCATCTTTACAATACATTCACTTCATTTATGACCGTTGCCACTACAATAACATCTCATTGATTTTATCAGTAAATAAATTACACATTGTATGTCTAGGCCCACTGTCATTACATCCCCCCCTGAGAAGAGATTGTGCAATTGTTTGTTCATACATTTAGCTGGTTTGTGCCATTACTCAAAAACTACATACCATGAAAAACAGCCACTTCTCTTCAATATTTTCAACAGGTGTCATAACTTTATCTGCACTTTACATACAAAAGGAAAATCTAAACAAAAGCATGCTTCATTGGTTCCAAAGGCCGCTCTACACTCTTGGCAAAGCTTGGCAAAGCTCTACGAGTGCTTTTCAAGATGTACTTGTGAGATTTAAATGTGATGGAAAAATCTGGGGAGGTGCTGCCCTTTTAAAATGAAACGAGTCTGCTGTCCTTTCTGATCTTTTAACAAGGCCTCATCCCGCAATAGAATTTTGTGTTCCAGGTTTGAGAGAAGTGAAATTTGGCCACAGCAAATATGCCTCTGTTTAATAGTATCTCTGTTAAACATGTGCTTCCAGATAGTATGCAAGCTTCCAATGCATTTCTTTTAATTTGGCGATTGATGACTTATATTAAGTTCTAATGATAAAAAAAACTGCTGTTAAAAGGAACCCTATGCAAATGTAGCATTTATAAATAAACTATTTCTTTCAAAGGCTCAAATAATTAATGTTTGAAAACAAATTAACACCAAACCTTTTTTCAGTCTGTTGGCATATTTTTCCTTTTATCTAAGTTCCCTCTGATGTGCAAATTCCTAATTGACATTCTGCTGAAACTAATTCAAACTGCTGATTATATTTTTTTCAAAGGTAATAAAGTAGAGTAAAAATATGTCAGAAAACGTGTATCAAAATTTCAACATGAGTTTGAATGATGATAAACTTCCTAGTTCCCTGACTTCTGGTTTTCTGTGTGGAGTTTGCATGGTTCTCCCTGTGTCTGGGTGGGTTTCCTCCGTTCACTCCGGTCTCCCCCACCAACCAATAACTGTAGGTAAAATCCCTCATCTGTGATAGTCCTGACCAAGCTGAGCATCAACCTCTGGATATAGGTCCCTAAGTGCTATAGTGACCGCTGCCTCTGACAGGTTGGCCGATCGTGGCTTTGAAGGATGGGTTGAATGCAGGAAAAATGCCCTAAATGGACAATAATGTGTACCTTACTCTGTTTGGCATAAATTTAAAAAAACCTTTGGTGGAAAACAAAACACTGCTCATCACTCTACTCACACTCTCTCTAGTGTTTATTTTCTTCAGCAGGGACAGAGAAGAGAGACATACAGTATCTGAAAATACCTGTTGCTGTAATTGCAGCAACAGGGGGTTTCCACAAAGCACTACTATAGAGCCTTATGCAAATCTCTTTACAGCCTTCTATGATTACATTATAAGGAAATCCATCATATTGTATTCACGTCACGATATCTCTGTCTCACACAGGATTAGCATGGGTGCCTGATTTGTTTAAGGTATTGATTTCAAAATATAGGGGGGTTTGCTTGATGTTTATTTCACAAACTTTAATAACTTTCAAACTTTTAGTTTGTTCTTGTTTTATAAAATGTTGATGAATATAATTCGACAAACACGCAGAAAACAGCAAGCTCATTGTATCGATATATGTATTATTTGACACAAAATCTTTTACAATGTTACCTCCTGGTTGACGTGGGCTTCAGGTGCTATTTATCATAGCAGCCGTAATAAAGAGCCTCAAGTACGCAGTAGTTATGGGATGATGAGTAGAAATACTAGAAAACATCTTTATGCTGTTTGTTTAATTGACTTTGAATACAATGACATAGATGGGGAGGAGGGGCGTTAAAAAATGTTCCTCAACTGTTTGTATTGTTGATATAAAACTGCTATAAATAAAATAAAAAGAAATGTCACCAATCAAACTGTAACCTGTCACTCGCCCTTTGAATTCTATTATTCATCCTTCAACAACAAAACTGTGGCGGTGGCTGAAAAACACAACTTTATTACTCCATGATATTCAGTACTACACACAGAGCACTTTGACTACTTGGTCCAGACTTGTGTTCCTGCCCCCTACCTGAAGGATAATGGACAAACATTCAAATTGTGTAATTGTAGCTTGTTCAGTCGCTTTATGAACACGTGCATGGACATCTGCTGGTTCTCATGACTGGTTAAATGATCTGCTCCTCAACTCGGAAAAAAACTGGAGTAATCTACTTGGCCCCAAATGTCTGCATGACTCCCTCGCTTATCAGATAATAATCACACACACTAGGAAGAACTCTTGGAGTCGTTAGTGACCAAGAACTCTCCTTCAAGGCACATAGAAAATAAAGCAACTAAAACCAGAATATCCTTCCTAAAAGTTATGCAAAAATATATCCATGCCTTTGTCTCCTCAAAGCTTGACTAGTGTAGCGCCCTGTGGGCTTTGGTGGAGCAAAGTTCAACGGGCACCATGTGTATTTTTATCAATGCATTTCCTGTGTTTTAACTGTTTAATTCTCTGATCTGTGTTAGCAAATTGACAACTTTGTAAAATCCTTAAAGATAACTTGTGATTTAGGGATATACAAAAACAAATTGAATTTAACTTTCCATAAGATGCCACAACAGAGAGTGACTTTAGGATGAGGGACATTCTTTCAATATTATTTTGAAATAAAATTAAAATAAGATAAGATAAGATAAACCTTTATTAGTCTCACAGTGGATAAATTTCATTGTCATCGTTGCGCACATTACAGCAGAGAAAGGAAATAAGAGCACACATCAAATTGAGTTTATTATTTAAGATAATAGACAGTAAAATTATAAGATAAAAATGTTGACTGCATGTGTACGGTTTCATTAAAACTGTATGAGCTGTGTTATTTAAATACATTTGTTTGATGACAAAGTTGTGGAAAAGGTAACGAGCGCCTCTTTTGATCGTAGTATCCATCGAATCAAGTCTTTAAATGAAAATACAAACTACCTATTTCACCAAAGTTTACCATTTGTTACGAGAAAAGGACGTGTGGAATCACGAGCGCGTGGATTGTTTCTATTTGTCCAGAGATTTCGCTTCTTCCGTTGCCCAGTAACGGGACACAAAGGCATGGTAGGTTTTGTAGTTTTTATGCAAAGGATTCCTGTTGAAGGTTCGTCTGAGTGAACTACATTCGCACTATAACCCCCAGAATGCAGTGCGTGACTCGCTCTGCCTCTCGCTGCTCACGTGACAGATGCTACAGCTAGCGTCACTGCTGCTGCTCTCTCTGTGTTGTGCTGTGTCTGTGTTGTTCGTTTTATAATTTAGTTTTATATTTTGAAAATGAAGCTGGGCTGTGTTGTGGCTCTTGTTTGCCTCGGAGTTGGGGCAATGGCGGGTAAATATTCCAGGGAAGTAAATGAGCAAAAGCTGACAAGTAGTGATGGAAAAACAGTGGAATTCAGGATAGCAAAGCTTAACCAGGTGTGGGAGAAGGCTCAAAGGGTACGTACGACTAATCATTTAAATTAGCAAAGTAAATCAACATGGCTGCTGTTTTGTTGCCTCCTGACACATTAGTTAGCGGCCTGTCTCTTCTCTCTCTTTTCTAAGTATGTTTTACTTCTTTCTTCTCCCTTTGAGCATGTAACACTTAAATCTGAGCTCAAATAAACTCTCTGGTTTGTAATATGTAATAAACTCGGCTAATATACCTAAATATAACTAATTGTAAACAATCTATGGCAGTCTCTTACCTGTCCAGTATTTTGATCATCTACATTTGTCTGTCTTTAACTTTGATATTGTGTATTAATGTCACAAGACAGTCTGTTGGGAAGATGTAGGTGCAACTGAGTGCATCAGGGAATATAGTCTTTAAAAGAGTAAAGTAAAAATCTTCAGTTCTCTTCAAGGACTAGGTCTTGTCGCATAGCAAGAGATAAGACTCAGTAGTTTCAAGTTTAAAAACAGTGGTACAGTAAATAGTGTCAAAAATAGAGGCTCTTTCTTTCCTAAAATGTTATTTCTTAAAACATTTGTATTCCATATTATGTTTTTTTGTCTTATCAGGAAAATATGATTGTTTTTCTTAATCCTATTTTTCACATATTTGTTTTCTTGCTAACAGCATGGTAGTTCATTCTTTTATGGGAATGTTTTCTTCATCTCAACTTCATCATTACCGCAAACACTTCCTCATGCAGAAAGTGTATTTAATATAAAGATATAAAACTATATGGTGGTATATTATATGTTTTGCCTTTTACATGTGACATTGGGCGATGTTTTGCAGATGCAGTTGTCTCCAGGGCGACAGGCGGAGCTGCACAGTGACCTGAAGATCCAGGAGAAAGATGAGCTGCAGTGGAAGAAGCTCAAGGTGGAGGGACTGGATGAAAACGGAGAGAAAGAAGCACAGATCCGGCGAAACTTTAATGGTGAGAAAGCCTCGCTGGGTCTTCAATTCGGTTATCATTGCGGTAAACGTGACATTATTGGAGGATGACAAAAACATAACTGTAAAACAAGACAGTCCCCATGAAATTAACCGCTTTCCTTAGAGCGCGTTCACACTTATTGATCTGGACTGGATTACTCTGTCAGAAGCAAAAGCACCACCCATCTGTTTTATATTAAGTGAGGGTTAGGGTCTGAGTTTCTCCAGAATGCCACCAATTTGTGTGCCGGTGTACCCAGATCTTTGGCCCATAAGCCTAGCTACAATCATTAGGTGCAATTAACCTTTTTTTCTATTGTGGCCTCCTGTCTTCTTGACCATAACATCTAGATGTGAAATATTTAGTCAAGAATACATATTTTCTCTTGTGGCTATTACCAATGCAAAGTGATAGACTCTTCTATCACTTTAGAATCTTTTTAATGCGCTGGGAAACAGCTGCAAGTCCTAAGTAGCTCTCAAACAGTTGTTTTGGGCTTTTGAATAAAACATTTTTTTTTACCTGAGATGTTGCTGCAGTACAGTGTTCATGGTTTTGCACTGGTCAAGACCGGAGCAGAGAGGATTCATGGTTCGAACCAAGTGGATCAGGTGAAATTCCACTGGAGGAATGATAACTTTTGGAAAATGCTAATGAAGTATATAGCATTTTACTTTGGACTAGAGCAGAGACAATGGTCCAAACAAACCTTCTTCTGTGAGACGTCCTGCTCCACCCAGAGACTACTCCATCTCTTCTTCTGTGAGACGTCCTGCTCCACCCAGAGACTACTCCATCTCTTCTTCTGTGAGACGTCCTGCTCCACCCAGAGACTACTCCATCTCTTCTTCTGTGAGACGCCCTGCTCCACCCAGAGACTACTCCATCTCTTCTTCTGTGAGACGTCCTGCTCCACCAGAGACTACTCCTTCTGTGAGACGTCCTGCTCCACCCAGAGACTACTCCATCTCTTCTTCTGTGAGACGTCCTGCTCCACCCAGAGACTACTCCATCTCTTCTTCTGTGAGACGTCCTGCTCCACCCAGAGACTACTCCATCTCTTCTTCTGTGAGACGTCCTGCTCCACCCAGAGACTACTCCATCTCTTCTTCTGTGAGACGTCCTGCTCCACCCAGAGACTACTTCATCTCTTCTTCTGTGAGACGTCCTGCTCCACCCAGAGACTACTCCATCTCTTCTTCTGTGAGACGCCCTGCTCCACCCAGAGACTACTCCATCTCTTCTTCTGTGAGACGTCCTGCTCCACCCAGAGACTACTCCATCTCTTCTTCTGTGAGACGTCCTGCTCCACCCAGAGACTACTCCATCTCTTCTTCTGTGAGACGTCCTGCTCCACCCAGAGACTACTTCATCTCTTCTTCTGTGACCTGAAGGGCTGTTGCTGACTATTACTATTTTTAACTTTTTAGAATAAACAATTTTATTTTTTATTTCTGCTGCTACTGGACACCTGAATTTCTCCTACAGGGATCAATAAAGTATCTATTGTTTTATTTATCTAGACGTATGAAAAAAAGGTTAGAAAAAAAATAAGTGAGGAGAGGAGCTGGGAGGAAAGATGAGATAATTTACAGCTGAAAAGTAGCAGAATCAAGGAAGAGAAAATGGCGGATCTTTGGGACAAGGCTTGAGGTGACGCTTGTTTAGTTTGTTCATGTCTCGTAAAGATCCCTACATGAACATGAACATCAGGTCGTAACAGTGTTGTACAAATACAGTCTAATCTGAAAACATTCTATCACAGGTTGAGAAACACACCACTGTAACTGTTTCTCGGCTGCGTGCCAAGCAGTTCTTAGAAATAGCGTAGTTTAGCGTACTACTGTTCTATATGTTACACACACGCATGATTCCCTTTTGCAGAGTTTGCATATCAGTTACACAAAGAACAAAGCGTTTGCAGTTTTTACACTAACAAATATAAGGATGCTATTTCTTCTCATATTTCTGTGCAATTAATCCATTATGCAGTATACGCAGTCTAAGTTAAACTCGGCCAACTGCAGAAATGTTCAATAAGTGATGCATTGTTGTGTCCCTCAAGGTCAGAATACCACAATAAATCCAAACAAAACGTATTATTACTTGGGGGAAATCCTTGAGTCAGCAGAGCAAGGTTAATAAGTGAGTTATTAACTTGACAATGGAGCTGAATCAGGTTCATAAAGTGAAGTTAGTCGTGCAGTTTAAAAGCAGAAGGTCAAAACTGCATTTTTGTAAATTAAAGTGGTGCCATTTAAATAAGCTTACATCTGTGGCCTTCAAGAAACACTGCAAAGCTCATTGAACACCTCTCGTTTCGTGGCGAGGCCGAGTTAATGGTCTGTTGTTGCGCCGCTTCTGTTGTTATAGCAGTAAAGTTAAAGTCACAGGGACGTGTGTTTTCGCAGTGATTCTGGCCAAGTACGGCATGGACGGCAAACGTGACACTCGACCCATGGAGAGCAACTCCCTGAAGGACCACGACATCAAGGAGGGCGACCAATTCGAGGACCCCAGACTCGACAAACTCTGGAATAAGGTCTGGACTGCAAAATCAGCCAAACGTGAAAAAGACAAAATATTCGTAGTTTCAAGCACACTCAGTCTTGTGACGGTATCTTTAGAACGGGGAACGTTCTAAAGATGCACTATTTTATTTGGGGTGATTTACTGACAAAAGGAGAGCTCAAAATTGTGATTTAACAAAAGAAACTGAAGGTTACATTAGATTAATTCAGTGTTTTTCAACCAGTGGGCTGTGGAACGTTTGTGTGCCTTGAGTTGTTGTATGGTGTGCCTTTGGAAATGGTCCAATAATGTGAGAAGATTAGAAAGACTTTTTTGTGCTTGTTTGAATTATATATAATACACTTTGATGAGAAAGACTTTCAGTGTTGATGAAGGCTGTTTCATGTTTGTACACGCTTTACTCTCACAAAGGTTGGGGAACACTGGATTCATTTCACATACAGTCAACTAATCTCAAAACTTGTGTATAAAATTAGAATATTGACAACACTGTATCTATCCGCTGTTGTGTGTCTGACCTGAAACATGTGGTGTGTGCAGGCTCAGATCTCTGGGAAGTTCTCCAGCGAGGAGCTGCTGAGTCTGAAGAGAGAGTTCCAACATCACAAAGACAAACAGCACGAGTACAACATCCTCATGGACACTGTGAGCCGGACCGAGGGTGAGTCATGTGACCGCTGCGTCCTTCAGCTCAACGTGACATCACAATCGTCAGCATTACCATAGCCTGGCCATATCCATCCGTACACTCCGCTCAATCATCATTTCACTGCATGTAACCGTCTGGGTCTGGTCCCTGTGTTAGCGAATACAATCGGTTGAATTTCGACCGGCTACTCGGAGAGCGCGGAAGCGCGGAAGTTGTAGGTCGGTGCCGGTGACGTCAAGAGTTTGCGACAAACGGGCAGGTTGTGGTTTGGCAATGGCGAAGAATTCGATAGTAAAGTAATCCGGTCTGGTTCTATCAAGAAATTGAAGCAGGAGCAAGAGGAATGTTTAGCAAATGTAATCGCTGGTAAAGATTGTGGCGCTACTCCCCCTGGGCTCCGTTAGCGGCAAAGGAGATGGCTAGGCTAAATGCTAAATGCTAACAACTCACTCGGGCACACTACATACGTCACGGTAAACTCAGATCCAATCGTTTCAATCTGCAAAAGGAGTTAACCCCTCCCACCTGTTCACGGAGCTCAATGGAGCAAATCCAGACCTTAGTACGAAATGTAATTTGTACTAAGGTGTGGTAAAACCAGGCTAGCATTACCATGATTCTGCTCTAATCTTTTTAAATAGAACATATTTTCGGCATCCCTCCTTGTGTCCTGAAACTGTGCTCTGAGCAACTTGCCCCTGTGCTAACAGACATTTTCAACCTGTCGCTAAGGAACTGTACTGTGCCGAACTGCTTTAAAGAGTCGACCATCATTCCAGTTCCTAAGAAAACTCCTGTGACATGCCTGAATGACTATCGTCCTGTGGCCCTCACGTCTGTTCTTATGAAAACTTTTGTGCGGCTTGTGCTGGACTTCATTAAGAGCCAGAACCCTGTGAGTGTTGACCCGCTCCAGTTTGCTTACAGACAGAACAGGAGTGTGGAGGATGCCATCTCCTTTGCTCTGAACTCTGTCTACAGTCACTTGGACACTAGTAAATCTGTCGCGAGAATGCTTTTCATCGATTATAGCTCTGCTTTTAACTGCCTTGTCCCAGGTAAACTGATTGAAAAGCTCATGTCTCTCGGTTTAGATCTCAGAGAGTGAAAATCAATGACTGTTTTTCTGATATTGTTTCTGTGAGCACTGGTTCTCCTCAGGGATGTATTTTGAGTCCTCTGCTCTTCACTTTGTACACTCACGATTGTGTGTCCTCCTCTGACTCAAACTTGATCATTAAATATGCTGATGACACCACCATCATCGGTCTCATCAGTGACAATGATGATTCCTCTTATAGAGCAGAGATACAAAATGTGGTTCAGTGGAGTAAAACTAACAACCTCCAGTTGAACGCATCGAAAACATGAGAACTGGTCTACGACTTCAGTCGCAATAGTTCTCATTTGCCTGTCGTAATCGACAACTCCCAGGTGCAGATCGTAGAGGAGTGCAAGTTTCTGGGTCTAACTCTGTCTAATGACCTGAAATGGGTTAAAAACACTGACCGAGTCGTTAAGAAAGCTCGTCAGCGTCTCTACTTTCTGCGTAAACTTAGAGAATTTACCACTAACTCTAAGATTCTGCTTAATTTTTATCGCTGCACCATTGAGAGTTTACTTGTTGGTTCTGTGTCTGTGTGGTTTGGAAACATCACAGACAAAGAAAAGAGAGCTTTAAACAAGGTGCTCCGCTCTGCAAAGAGGACCGTGGGCTGTGAGCTTCCTGTTCTGGAGGTTCTTTATAAATCCAGACTTTTAAACAAAGCTCTTAGGATTGTCAATGACTCTTCTGGCCACTCTGGAAAAGCCATGTTCCAGCTTCTTCCCTCTGGCAGAAGATATCGCTCTCTGAGATGCAGGAAATCTCGTTACGCTAACAGTTTTTATCCACAGGCTGTTATCAGTGTGAACAGAGCACTTTAATGATTTGCACTTGTTTTGAACTGTTTTAGTCGATCGATTTCACAGTGACATTTGTTTACTGTTTTATTTGTTTTATTTTTGTCTTTTATTGTCTGTATTTGTCTGTGCACACTGGAGACTTTTGCTAATGTATTCCAATGTGGTTTTCTTTACTGCAAATGGCAAATAAACTGAATCTGAATCTGAAATCATATTTAAAACTAGATAATCCATATAGGCAATATATTAATATCTAAAATCACCCAAAAGCAATAAAAGCATCACACTTTTTGAAACATTCTCCATTTAAATCCACCCTGTTTATTTTTTTTTTGGACAGGTACTGTGTTTATTGTAGATTATTTTATTTTTTTATAACAACCTTGCTCCCACCCCCCTCCCACCCACACACTGGTTTTATTTGATCCTTTCTCTGGTACATTATTGTCTAATTAAGTTTGTTTGTGTACTGACGGATCTGTACCATTTTGTCATTCTTCAATAAAAAAAAAGTCCCTGCTCGAATGGAAACGCACATCTGTTTGTGCTGCTCTAAACCTCTGCCACACAGCTGAGAATTGCTGCATTTAGACTTTTCCTTCTTCAGTCTTCAGTTCGTCTGGAGTTTTGGTGCGTGTCGAAGCCGCAGACGCCCCGCTCCTGCCTCGTGCCCAGCGAGTGGCAGCTCTTGTCACATCTGTGTTCACACTGACAGCCACGTCGAGGCGCGGGGCAGATGTTTGGTGCCACATCCTTCTTTCCTCACGTTATTTCCCTCTGAAGCCGACAGTAGTTTTGTAGTTGTCGGATGGATTCAAAATTTAAGCCAATCTGGTGTCGCCTCGAGGGGCAGGGTCCGTGCACCACTCCATCTTCTTCTTTTCTTCTTTTTGCCACTTCGACTTTGATCCAAATGTCAGCTGGTCTTTGATTTTCTGTGTCTGCGTCCGACTGGCTTTCATGTGACATCACACTCCTCACTCATGTAGCCAAGCCTCTGTCATCTACTGTACCTGACATATCGCCTTCCTCCAAGGCCAATAACAAACCCTAAGTCCTCTGTCATACATGACAGGAACTCACTCCCCTCCACAGAACACTGTAGAGCAGAACACTATTCAACCACATTCTACCATGGGCACTATCACAAACACTGCTTTAGCTTTATTTTAGTAACAAATTACTATTGAACTGGCCAAGACTAGCACCAACCACAAGTATTATGTACATGAATCCATAATAACTGATTCTTATCCTGTACTGTACATAAGGAACAATCATGCTGAATGAACCCAAGCCTCGCAGAAAATGTGTATATTTATTCTATATTGAGACAGATGAGCCATGGGCGGGGTCAGATTGTTTGGAGAGCCCCCCCCCCCACCATTTTACCTGAAGTGATCATGACAAGTTAAAAGTGGGTTTAGATTAGACCTAAAATCTTTCCCTTGTAGAAATACAAATACTTTAACAGTTACACCAAACTGACACACTAACTGCAATAACTATGTTGGAAAATGTAATAATAAATCTCGTAGAGTGCGGACCTCTGCCAAGAGGCCCAGTTTTATTCCTTACAAACATTCCTTGATCTGAATGGTGATTCAGGTCATTTGTTCCTTGTTAGTAACAAATACTCAAAGCTTAAGCTAAAAGGAGCTTCAGTAGATAAAACATCATTGTTTTATGCTCTTTAATGTTAATGACTCCGATATATTTGATATATTCTCTTTTTCTCCTGTTAAATGAGGCCTCCTCCCCCACCTGCTCCATCTCTGTCCTGACCAGAATCTTTTGTGTCTCTACAGAAATCCACAAAAACGTGATCTCACCGCTGGAGGGCGACACCAAGGAGCACGTGCTGCACCAGAAACACACAGACCTGAAGCTGAAGATGAGGGACCTGAACCAGGGCTTTGAGAGGCTGAGGAAGATCAGCCACGAAGGATTCACCGAGGACAGCGGTGAGCGGCAGCTGAGGCTTCTGTTTAATCGTCGTTCTCTCATCAAAAACACACCTGGGGTCACTTTCACAGAGCGTGTGCAGAAGGCCGTATGCCAGGAAAGACCAGAATGAGCCAAGTTTACAGGAATATTTCATAGATTTCCAAGAAAAGTTTTCGGGTTTTAGATGTGTCTGCTCGGCTGTTTTAGAACGACTACGCACCTCTGTAGTCTGAGAATCAAAAACATGAGACTCACTCACTTCTGTGTTGTCTTCATTAAAACGTGTTATCTTTAGCATACTGAGAGCTGATTGGCTGACTGAGGGCCGCTACTCTGTTTCACTGATAAAGCTGATGTGACAGAGGCTACAAACACAGCGTCTGGAAACTAGAGATTAAACAAAACTGAGAGAAGAGGATTTTATTAGAAGTGAATTTGTGGTTTCAAAGATAGTCTCCAGCTTTAAGAACATTCACCAATATCATATTGTAAGATCTGAGACATGAAGACTAAAGCATTTATTATTGGTTTTTAAAACATTTGATTTTACATGGAGACTATTGTAATTGTGTCAGGAAATAGCATTGAAGGTTTGCAATCACCAAGGAAACAAAGAAACTCAGAAAGGTTGTAGAAATGGAATAACTCTTGAGTGCATGTGAAAACCAGTGGTAGACTTTCTGTTTTAAAACTAAAGATAAAATAGAGAAATGGAACTTTATGGGAACATATTGTTGTGGTTTCAAAGTGAGGTCCTCCAGCTGCAGGAGCCACCAGTACAAGCAGGATGCATCTGTGCCTCAGATTCATTCACGTCGATATATGGATGAAACAATGCTTTTCTTTCCTTCAGAGTTTCGGGAGCCTCGTGTGATCGAGTTGTGGGAGGCGGCCAAGAGATCCAACCTCACGCAGGACGAGCTGGACTCTCTCAAGGTCAACACCCAACACGTTTATTACTAAGACTCTGCTGCAGCTCCGTTGTTTTAGCATCTCAAAAACAGTGTATATGTTTGAAAAGTCGCATTTTACCACACGCCAAAGCAAGTTGTATCCGTCAGCATTGCACTTCTGGTTTCTCTTACCATAAAAGAGTACAGCAGGGGGCCCAAACCTGTCGCTCGGGAGCCACCAGTAGCTCGCCACCCCTTCCAGGTAGCTCACCAAATCAAATAATACGATTAATACTTCAGATTGTAACATTCATTATGATTATTATAATATTTTTTTAAAATTGTAAATTCAGTGCGGCAGTGGCTCAGTTGGTATTGCATCGGCCTTATGTGTGCTGGGTGCAGCTCTGACTGCCACTCCCCAACCCAGAAATGGATTAAGGGGAAGAAGATGGATGGATGGATGGTAAATGCATTTACTTTATGCACTAGTAACAAATATGCAATGATCAATAATGACTGTACCCAATATATCACCAATTCTTTCCCAGATCTGCTTTAAAGGGTAGCTCTCTGCCATTCTGTTTGTCAAAAGAGGAAGAAGCCGATTTGAACATAGGCTAGCTGGAGTCAATTTCTTTATATGAACATGCAACAACGTTACTGGGAAAAGTAATCATTTCCACTTGTATTTCTGCCTCATCTGCAAGAGACGGTTTTTTTAATTGCTGTTTTTGGAATTATTTTACACAGGATGTGGAGACAGAATGTGATAGTATATTGTTGTCATTTATGCTTTGGAATGAAGTACTCTGTCTTGTCTGAGCGCTCCTCTCACCTTTTTCACTCAACAACTGCATTTCATTTTCTGAGCGACTTGCTTCAAGTAGATAGGATCAGGTCTTACAGGGAAACCTCCCGTGGCACTCATCGTGACAGCTTCCGTCTCGTTACAGCTCCAAACGCATGAAAAAAAACACATTCATTTCTTTTCACACTTTGCATTTTTCTTTTCCGGCGGTGAAGGAGGAACTGCACCATTTTGAGACCAAGGTGGAGAAACACAACCATTACCAGGAGCAGCTGGAGCTGTCCCATCAGAAGCTGCAGCACGTGGAGAGTCTGGGCGACGAAGAGCACATCCGGAGGAACCAGGACAAGTACAACACGCTGGCGGAGAAAACCAGGGAGATCGGATACAAGGTGAGAGGACCATCGCGGACCAGCGAGGCAACACTGTTTTATAAGGAACGAATTCCAGCAGTGTTTTTATCACAGTAGATCAGTGAGTCCACCTGTTCTTCCCAAGGGCCAATTTTTATTCTTATTATTTTAAAATAATCTCTGGGACATAAAATAAAGAACTCATCAACACTTTGAATATTTAACTGCAAATATAACATACACAATATCTACAGTAACCAGTACAAATACTGGTCTGGGCTCTAACCCACCAGGTATGAACCAGAAAAATTAAAACAATGGAATTATATATATTTTGGAAAGCCCTAATTCACAACAGCAGTCGTCCCACTTTACAAAGTTGTTGATTCACCGACAACAGATCAGAGAATCAGATTATGCACATTACTGTGAGCACATTTCAATTTGTCAGTCTTAAAATGAGATAATGTGAACCTAATAGTGGGATTCGCCGAACCTACAATGTGTTTTTTTTAAAGAGACGAGCAAATTCTCTCTTACTTGAAAGGAGAAAAAATGCTTCTGTTCTTAAAAGAAGAAATGTTTTGCTTATCCCAGCTGTGCATCTTTTTGTTTTTTTCTTCAAAATGTACTCGAACCAACATAAAAACTAGATACAATAATTTGCTGCCTAAGATCGAATGAGGGCGGAGAGCCAGATTATATTGATGGATGAAAAGACCTGCCATAGATCTTTTTATACAACAACACACAGAGTCCTAAGAAGTCCTGGTTCGGGAAAATAGGTTTATTTGATGTTGGATAAAGATGTGTTCCCGTACGGCCGGACAACACCAGAGACACTTCCCCCATTACTTCTATCACAGTGACAGCTCACACTATCAAAGTATCCATGAGAAGTAATGTATTTTTCCATTACTAGTGTCTTTGAAAATGCACAGATATCTCCCTTTTGAAAATTCGTTAAAACGTTTAATTCCTTCCTGCTACAATCTTCAACATGCTTAGTTATTGGCAGTACATTTGAAAGAACGGGTGAAACTTGGGGCTAATTATAAGACTTAAGACTCAAATATTCTTTATCTGTTTTTGCACATACGCAAATGAGCTCAACTTTAAAGAAATATCCCCGAAAATCTTCTTGTGATCATTTTTGTGAATAACATTGTTTTTGTGCTGGTTTCAGATGAAGAAACACATGCAGGACTTGGCCAACAAAATCTCCCAGCAAGGACTGCAGCACAACGAGCTGTGACGGACTTGTGCTGAAATAATGATGATAATAAAGGAGCTTAGTGAGCGTCCACTGGTTTGTTCCCGAAATAAATCTCCCATAAATAATGTTAAAAAAATTCATGTTGAAAGTTTGAAAATCTGCTCGAGGCTAATCAGCTCTGCGGCCACTAAAGACCACATTTTTTTTTTCAAAGTTTATGTTTTTTAGACTGAAAATAACCACTTTTGGGAGATTCATTCCCACAGAGCTGATCTAGTCTCAGCTTTTATCAAAATGCCAAGATGTTGAAAAATCGTTGGGAGATGGAAGGGAATGCTTTGATGAGGACGGGACGTGTGACGAATGAGCTCTTCACGGTTACTGAGACCACACAATTGCATCCATCATTCCCCCTGCTGCTGTACCTGTGCTTTTCTACAAAATTCCATTTACTTATTGTGCTCAGAATCATGAAAAACTAATTGTAAATATTTTCTTTATGTGAAATGTGTGTGTTTTTTCCCCATCAAGTTTCACACCATATTTGTTGGATTCATGATTTTTGGTTCTTCTCATAAACTGTTTTTTAGTGAATAGATTGTTGAATAGTTGAGAAATTCATATTGAACAAATGTTTGGATCAGGCTAAAATGACTGTTTTAAACTAATTCTCAGCTGTATCTTTGCAAAACAAAAACTGACTTAAACATTTTTTTTTCTCATTGTAGTTTATATTGCACTGATAAAGGAGGAGGATGGGTTTGTAGGAGGTCACTTCATTGAAATCTGCTTGTTCTTCCTTTGATTATCACAGTATGACATTAAAAAGGTACCTCCAGAAGAATGTTCTATTGTTTTAACTTTTTCCTATAAGTCATACATGTGACATTTTAGATTACACACTAAGGCTTTAAATCATTGGTTCTCAAAGTGAGGTGTGCGCAATCATTTAAAGATTGGTTTTATTTGCGCTATTTCAATTCAATTCAGTCTTGTATCACCCTCAAACACAACAGTTATCTCAGAGAACTTAACAAAACCTTTCTATTTGCAAACACAGTTCAGATAATTAAACAGTTCAAACACCATAAGGGGCCGATGACCAATGTTGATATATTTCACCACTTGGAACAAAATCAACTTTGAGTCATAATAAATGACTCAAACAAGCCATCACTACAATAGAATGATGTGCTCTTTGTATAGTGGGGTTTCATTTTAGATTTTTTGTTGTGCTCAGTCCTGGTTCACTGAAAAGACACGGAGCTACAGACTGAAGATGCCACATGAGAAAGTTACATAATTGCAAAACACAAACCTATACCCTGCTCACTGGACACTAGAGTATAATTTACACAGTAATGATACTAATCCAATATCATTCCCCAAAGTATTGCTAAAGAATATTAACTTTGAATATAACGTATTATAACTCAAACCAGTTGAAATTGATTTGGACATTAAACTGTTATAAGTTATGGTACAAAGACATCGTCAGAAGCAAGATTTCCGCATCACTGTCAACAATTTCCTTTGCAGTCAACTCAATTTCTTGTCTGCGTCTGTACATAAAGATAGCTAAACCCTACTTAAACCCTCTGCAAATAGGTTCTGAAAAGCTTCTCAGACGGTCTCTCGGTCTGATGCGCCTTGAAATATTCAAGGAATTTGACACCATCGTCCCATTCATTTATTAGATACTTGAATAATTTGAAGTGAGAGAAAAACGCCCAAAATGACACCATCACAGCAGCGTTTTATTGTTTGTGTTAATAGTAGTTTACAAATATAAATGTATTTCAGCAATAAAACGATAGACCAAAACAACTATGTATTATTTAAAAGTAAAGTAGCAACATTCAGTATATTAGCAGAACATAAATATATAGAAATATCATTGAACAGGATAAATAAAAGTAAAAAAAAGCCATGATGTACTTATATAATACATCCATACTTTGTCACACGCTTTCTAACCTGAACCACCTCCATAAAAAATAATTACTTGATATTTAGTAATATTCTGTTTATAGTATGGATGATTACAGGGAGAGAAATAAGTCCACAGAGTTGTATTTGTCACGTCTGGCCTTAAATGGATCCAGATATGAGCGATGTTTCCATGTGGGGAAACTCCTCCGTCATGTTGTGCTCTGGTCTCACAGGTCGAGATGAATGTCTTTTGCGGCGAGAAATAACTCAAAGATCCTAATTCATATTGACCGTTCTGACGTGGAACGATGGCCTGCAGCTCATGAACTATAGATGTGACTCCTGGCAGGTTACTTTTCTCACAGCTACGGGAAACAACTCAAAACTAAAAAACGGGATCCAATATTAGTTCAAACCAACCGGATAAATATTCAATAACTATTTCCATCGTTCGTTGTTTAAAAGCAGAACATATTTGGGTTCATTAGGTTCAACTCAAACATTTTACAACTATTTAACGTGGTATAACTTTATCGAATGGCTGTGTCTAATATGGATGTACAATTTGTGGTTTTAAAAGTATTATTAGATTTTGGCTTATTTTTTTCATGCAACACAGTAAACCTCTCAAGCAGGAAAACCCCATTTATTTTATTATACTTCTATCGAAAACCAAAATATGTGACATTGGGCCTCATTGTCATTTTGAAAACCTTTGGACAGAAACAGCCGCTGATGTGTTCCCGGTGAGATCAGGTGAGATCATTTTATTGGAGCAGAGGCGGCATTTAAGTATTTTACAGTAAGTACGGTACTGTTTTTTTCCCTGGTATCAGTACTTTACCATTTTCAAAGTTACTTCACACTATTAAACCCAATAATCTGTCCTTTCTTCTCCTTAGTTACTTTGCAGATGGTGACACAAAAAACAGGTTTAAAAGTTATGAACGATGCTTCTAAGTGAATTAATTCATTGTGGTTAGCTACGCTTCTAAATTCACGTAACCAGCTTAACATGTTTTTTGTCATATTCTCTGCCAGTGTTAAATATTTCTCCAACAATAGAGAAATGTGTAAGTGTTTGAAAACTGTCAAATAATATCAACAAAACTGCATTTTGACTTTCTTATGTACAAATAAAAGCTTTTACTTTTACTGAAGTAAGGGAAGGATTTCAATACTTCAACTGATTTATACTAACATCTTTACTTAAGTACCTAAGTCTAGTACGGTTGACACCTCTGGCCTCGGGATGAAAAATTGACTTAAAAACCTGAGTTACCACGGCAACAAACCATTAGCAGCAAGTGCTTCGTACAAATAAGGTTATAATTCAGACTAACGATGGAAGAGAAACATAAAAACAAATAAACGGGCAAGAAACACGAGGGAGTTTCCTGCAGACATTAGTTTAAGCTGAGAAACGAGGATCTTGTAGAAAAGGAATGGCTGAGTCGTGGAAGTCTCTGGACCAAGACCAAGTGTCAGTGTGGGGCCCCGTGTCTGCCCCCTCTCGTGGCAGCAGCACCAGTGGAGCCCTCTGCTGGCGGGGGAACTGTAAAGAACATGGACGTGATTTCACCTCAGCATTAACGACATACCTGACAATAGAGGAGGGACTTTGTAAATGTGTGGCCTTTAAAAGTCTGGAATCCAGCTTGGCAGGTTTTTATAATATTTGAGTAGCCTTTGAATAATCCACTTCACATTTGACTCTGTGTGGAGGGTCCTTCAACTGCTTATTTCATGGTGTGCTATCGTCTTTCCAGGAATATTTCAGTTTTGTATTGAATTATTTCATGTATTCCATTCCAGTGGGTTTTATTGCTACAACATTTGTGAGTGTCTTGTTTCCTTGGTGATTGCAAAGCTATAATGGATTTTCATGGCACAACAATTACACTAGTCCCTATGCAATGTGTCAGAGATTTTTTAAAAACAACAAATGGTCTTCATGTCTCGGATCTTATAAAATGTCTAACTTTGAAACCACAATAAATTAACTATGCAATAAAATCCATGTCACTAGTTCCAAGCTCTCAAAATCGTTTCTCAGGATGTAAAAGATCGAATGTTTTCTAGCCTGTTGAGGTCTGATTTGTTCACAGAATGTTACTTTAACAAGACTCTGTTGGGACAAACAAAATGTCCACAACAGAAAAACAAAGATGGGTACTTCCAGCTGTGCACTTCATAAAATAAGTTAAAGTACTGAGCAGTAAAGATCTGAAGAGGCCTGATGTTACCAGTGTGAGTGGATCCTGTGGCCGCTCTGTCTTTATGCAGTAACATGGAGCTGAAGGGGAGGTTCACATAATGAACCGAGTTGTGTAGATACAGACTGGGGTCCAGACCACAAGAGGCAGCAACGCGCTCAGGTCCAAACACACCTGCAAAAAAACACAGGGAAACATCTTTAAGGGCTCGTTCACACTTCTGTTGGATTCAGCAAAAGCAACAATCATCACTTTTTTTGTGTTAAACCATTCCGTCAAAGACTTGGGACTCAAGTCTTTTCCAACAGCTTTTCTTCCAAGATTGTTTTTGCATTTGGCTTAATCCATCTTACTTTCAAGACTGAGACTCTTCCCTGTCCCTGATGAAGAAAAGCAACCCCACAGCATGATGCTGCCACCCCAAGGTTTAACAGTGGTGATGGTGTAGTGATGAAAAGTGATAATTGCCCACCACATAACATTTTGCATTTAGGCCAAACATTTAGATTCTGGACTCATCCGACCACAGCATCTACTTCCACATGTTGATATGTCCCTGCTTGGCCTCTTGTGGATTCATTTCATTAATGACCACTCAGCCATAAAGGCCAGATGTGTGTAGTGCATGATTAATAGTTGCCCCATGTAGATTCCCCCAGCTGTGGAGGCCATCAGAGCCCAGCTGTAAACATACTGAGACTAGATGACACTCAGGTTATATACTCTACGTAATGGTTAGGTCGACATTTCACCATCCATCAATCATTAGGCAACTTCTGATTCCACACACAGAGTAAAGAGGCCTGAATACTTTGCAAAGTCTTATTTGTTTGGCCATTTTTACAAATGGCCAAACAATTTTGCAAGCCCCACTTTTCTCGTTTTTCTTTTTCAGATATAATACATTCTTGTAACATTTTGCTTTCACTTCCCAACTATCTACAAATGTAAGTAAAAAAAAAATTCACAACAAATATCTTTGTGGCCATAACAAGAAAATGACAAAATTGAATGGGGCCTGAATACTTTTTTCCAGGGACTGTAGAGTATGGACTGCAAACTGTTGGGAAGGACATGAAGCCAGTCTGTAGCAGAATACTGAGAACAATCAAAGCATACAATGTCCAACGCCAAACAATGCATCGAAACTTCCCAAAACAAACTCACCACAGGCTGTTGCGGGTCGAGCGGGCAGAGCGGAGGGAGCAGGTGGTGGAGACGAGGGCAAAAACATTTTGAGCCGCGCCAACATACTGCCTAAAGCCCCATAGTTCTGTTCATCTGTCAAATTCACAGAGTTCAAAACCGCTCTGATAGAAATCACACTTGGACAAATGAAAACAGACCTGGTTTAGATGTGGTGGTAGTTCGCGCTGATGCCCACTTTTCAACCTGCAAAATACACCACAAACTCAATTTTAGACCAATTTCATGCTCTTGTACGTTGGCAATAGCGGCTCGTCTAAGCGCACACAAGAGTAAACCACCGGCCCTCTGCAAAAAGATTTAAAAGCAGAAAACGTACCTTTTTAGTGGTTGTACTTCCGACCGTCTGCCACTGCTCCGAGGTGATGTAGTTGTCTGCCGCGTGACCGCACTGCTGAAGACAATTCATAATTATTTCTGCTTGTTTATTACAGGGGGAAACATTGACTGAGGAAATTGGAAAGTATATATATAAAAAAACATCCACAGGAGGAAATAACAAGTCATTAGATGGAAAACATGTGATTTCTATCAGTCTCTCCTTTTCACAAGAACAACTAATTCATCCCGCAGAGAGGAAATGTCAAATATAATTCAGGTAATATCAAAATAATGACTGTAGTTTTTATAGTGTTTGTGTGCCTGTGATTCACACATAGATAGTATATAGATGGACTATGCTAGGGTTAGATTTAAAAGCAATACAAAAATAATTGAAAAGTAAACCCCTTTGGGTAAGTAACCGTTTGTTTCACACTCCCCATTTTGGCCTAAAAAAATGGTAGTTTAGTGCTTTCTATGATCCTGGTATTTATATTTTGATATAGTCTTCATAAATCCAGATATGATCCATAAAAAGATAGACTAATCAAAAGCCTTTATTCGTGGGGGAACCTCCAGCTTGCCTTAGCAACCATCTTAGCAACCTGGTTCACCTGTGACGCCGCAAAGCAAACCCCATCAGAACAAATGTCCATATAAGGAAATTGGCTCCAGCTTGTTAATGTCAGCACTTGGTTAGTCCACTCCTAAATTACCGTCTTTGGATCCACACCCAAAGCTAATCAAGCCGTACAGTACACACTTTACATAGATAAACAAGATTGTACTTCTTTAGCCTCATATTAGTTTCTTGCATCATAGTTACTAACTTGTTGTGTCTTTCCTCAGGCTGTAAACCCAGACTCTAAAACTGTCTCAATAATGTTCGGACTAAGAAATGGTCTTGTGCCTTTGCTCTTCTGCACAATGCCTCGAGTGGTAAAATAGATACATTGCTAATAAAACAGAAAGTTAACAAGTTTGAGCTCAGAATTGGGTTGTATTTCTTGTGTATCGCTGGGGATGCTAAAACAGAGTCCGTAAACCCAGAGTCTTCCACTTTATCAGAAGAGACGGGTGTATTTTACAGCTCACTGATCTGCTGGCACGAGGACCAGAGTCATGCTTTCAGTCGGTTGCATCAGTTTTTCCTTATTAACTTCTGGCCTCTCACCACTACTACTATTTTACTGACTGGACAGCAACAAACTGTGGGTAATGAAGTACGGTAGTTCAAAGTGTCATACTTGATCAAACTGTATTCTGGAATAGATAATTACTTCTTCTATAGAATTACTTTTAAAAGATTGTAAAAAATCTGTGTTAAATCTGTAATACATGCATCAAGAGTTTCAAGCTTCCAGTTCGAACGCACAGCATTGTGGGTAGTTGGGTCGAAAAGCATCAAACCACGACCGGCGTATTGGATTACTTGTCGCGAACGATTGACCTCTCTTGTTTCCGGCCCATAGATTATTTTAATAGCTAAAAGATGCGCCAATTTCAGAAATTTTGAAGGTAAAGATTTATTTATTTAACATAAAAGCAATGCATTTTTTTCTTGTGGTTTTAGATGTAATCACAAACGACTGACTATAGAATTACATGTAGCTTATGAGACTTACGAGGATAGAATGCTTACACACAAGCCCTATATACTTTCCCAAAGCTGTACATTTTCAGTTGTAAAGCCCCATGTCTTTTCCTACAGTGCAATAACTTCAATTCAATTCTTCACTTTTATTTTACAAAACTTGTAGCCATATTGGTTATACACTTTTACAATGTAGTGTTGGTTGGTGTTTTGTAAAATGGGAACTCCCAGGAAGCTGCATTAGCTTATAGACGGGGCCCCAACTTATCCATGGGTTACGGGCAGTACGGTTTCAGTGCCATTCTTACAGCCGAGAAGCTCGCACATCGAGACACTCCACTTCCCGAGTCGTTGCCCACTGTTAGGACTGTCAAAAACACAACTCCAGTGCCCGTAACTCTGGATGCATGTATAGGTTGGAAAGTGATCCTTTAACACATTTTTTTTGGATACTCAAACACTTCACCTGGCAAATTAATTCACTCCATACATGGTGGTGATAAAGTATTATTGTAGCCACAGATGCCCTGAGGCAGACTGACAGAATTGAGGCAACCAATCCCCACCAACCACTTCTTTTTTATATAATAACTTTTCCAGTAGCCTTCATCTAGCCCTGGGAGAAGAATGGGGGACTCCCTCAGGTAATGGCACTATATTAAAACTAAACTAACTCTTCAAATATTCACAACTGATCTTAAAGCCACACTTTCAAATCACACAAAAAAAAATATCTACAAAAATGTAATAAAAAGTTTTGTTTTGTCAGCCAGTTTTGGCTTCCGTCACACCTTTAGATCAGTTTTTTTTATTTTTCAGACAAAAATAAAATTGACTCAGCCAATCAGCTCTCAGCCTAAAGCATCAAAATAGTGTTTAGTGCTTTTTCTTCCAAGTAGGCAAAAGGTAATTATAAACAATTATAGATGAAGACAGTATAATGTATTTCTATTCTGTTTAAATATTCACATTATTTATGAATTAATAAATAAAAACAAGTCAAGCACCAACTTTAAATTCCTTTGTGGCAATCTTACCACTTTTTCCAAAACTTCAATTAGGACCAATTCAAACTTTGTGGAACAATGCTTGACAGAGAAAACGAACCGTGCTAATAGCATTTCTCTTGAATGCATTAGCAGCAAAACACGGCACAGAGCGGAGAGACTATTACGTTTCCCGAGTTTCAGTCGTATATGAGCCAATGATTTGATGATAATAGCTCAAATAGAGTTTTAAGTGCCTGAGTGAAGAGTTAACACATTTAATTTGCACTTGTTAGATTCTAAATTTGCATTTTGCAAGACTTTGCAGCTTCCCAGGCGTGTCATTATGATAAATAACACGCCGCAGTGTATTGTGAAAGGCTGGATAATTGGTGTAAATCCTATTCAGGCAAAACAAACACTGATAATCTCAATGATGGAGTCAGAGACACACAAGACACTCATATGTATTTCATATCCACAAACTGATCTTGTGTCCAAGCAGTAATAATGATTTTAAAGTTTAATGTGGTCTTTCTTGCCTGTGGGCTTAGGAAAACTTATTAGGACAAATACATAGACACCGTGTACGCTGTTCAGTTTTATACTGTAAGTGCAAGTGCATAATAGTATTTCAGGATGAAGTTAGGGCTGCTGTAATTGGCTATTTACAAATTTGTCTGTTCTTTTGTTTATTTGTTGAGACTAATATAAAAATGTAGCAAAACAGTTCCAAGGAAAATAGAAAGTAGCACACAAAAATAAATTCAAATTGGTTCATAATGTTGTGTTAGAGGCAGAATTTGTTTGTTTTTAAAGCACATTTTGAAGGACTATTTTCCCCACTTTGTTAGCGACTGTGTGAAGACATTTACTGTCAAACCATTTTCTATTTTGAAATGATAATGACAAAGGAAACCACTCAAATGATCCTGATTAGAAGTCTCAGTTTTCAATAGTACACATTTACCCTTTAACATCTATGACGGCTTAAAATCTTGTGTGGTGGTTTTGGATGAGGTTCTTGATTCTCTCCGAAATGACAGCTGCCTATTCTTCGCAAATTCCTGGTCCCCCTTGCATGACCCAACTACATTTGTGTCTATTTGATTGAACAACTTCACACAATCACTAACATCAAGTGGGGGAAAAATGTCTGTCACATGATCTCCAAGCTACAACCAAATCAATTGAATCTGGGCTGGGTGTGTAAACTGAAAAGATGACATGCTCTGCAAAGCTGTAGGCGCCAGTGCGTAAAAGAGACGTGGAAACTGTGGGGAAAAAAATCTCCCACCCACTATCTCACTCTTTGACCGAAACGTCGAAAATAAAATTTGACAAACTGAGCTAGTCCAGGAGTGTCTAAACCGGTCCAGAAAGAGCCGCTCTGGCTGCAGGTTCTCTGTCACACCCAGCACATTTCCTCAAGTGAGTTCAGTCTTAAAGGAGCAGTATGTAAAAATCTGTCCAAAAGTGGTACTGCATTCTCAACTCAGGTTTCCACATATGCAGACGAATCCAGCTGGAACCATAATATCTGAATAAAGAGAAACAAATCTAAAACCAACACCTTTTTCACAAAGATAGGTATCCTGGTTTTATTTCTAGTTTTGTCATTAATGATCAAAACAAGACCTTTTGTAGTTCTGTGGCCACATGTTACTTTTCCAGTGAGATTAGCTCAATAAGGTGAGTTCTGGCAACCCGGATCACAGACTTTCTGATTGATGAAACAGTCGAACGTGGGACATCAAAATTAAAACAATAACAAGATTTAGGGGCTGTAAAACTAATTTTGAAATCCAAATATCTGGGCTGAACTATTGTTATCAGTTTTAAAAAGTATTTGAAATAAGCATGTTTTATCAATGCCTGTTGACATATTAGGGCCATTTAATGATGACTTTGAATGAAGATTTGACTAAATGGGAAGAGTCTGCTTTGCTCCTGTGCTGGGTCAAGTCTTGTATAACGTTAGCGACTGCCCACAGTAGAACTTGCGGGCACAACCGTACACTTAACTCACTCACTTTGTTAACTTTTGTACTGTTACCTGTTTTCTTCCATGGAACAGACTGGCTGTCACAGACCGCGCTCTTGGCGTCTCGTGTCCGTTGCTGCCCCATGTGGCAGAGTTCTGAACAATGACTTTCGGAGGACCCCCGCTCCACCAGTAACCCTCTGCATTCGGGCTGTCGTCAGAGGGGTTGGGAGTGGGCGTGTCCCAGAGTGATGCAGATTGTAGCAGGCTTCTCGGGGTGTCGTAGCGTAATTGGAAGACGCTGGGCGCACGGTGTTCCGGTCTCTGTACAGGACTGATGCATATGAAGGAGGAGGCATTCGGGGTATGTGCGGCCTCTATGGGGGGAGGACGTGGGGGAGAGAGTGGAGGCTCAGCCAGAGTTTGTGGCGAAGCTAAACTGGGCGCGGATCCAAATCCCTGTGCCTGAGCAATCGTGGCGTCCAGGCTTTCGGTGTAGCTTCCTGATGATTGGCTACTTGCTGCAATGCCAATGCCGCTGTCCAATGAGCTCTGGCGCCCGCTGTCGTGGAGCCTGCGCGGGTTTCCGGTCGCCGCAGCGTACAGGCGATCATCAGAAACGGTCAGAGGCTTCAAGGTGGAGCAGCTCGAGGCCGTATCAGTAGACGAGCGCAGCCTGGAGGAAGACTCGGGCCAAAAGGGAAGTCTGGGGCCGTAGCTGGTGTCTGATTGGGTGGAGGAGGAGCTGGAGATGCTGCTGTGGTCGTCTCCGGCGATGGACGTGCTGCAGCTGAAGGTGGAGGCTGCGGAGACAGAGCTTTTATTATCAAAGCAGCAGCAACGCATCACTAAAGGCTGCAACAACTGATCAATAACATGGACTATGCAAAAAACACATGACGAAAGACCTTTTATAACTGTAGCTGTCTCAGTGGGGGATAAAAAATATCAAAAAGAAGCTCACTTATTTAGATTGCATTTAGATGTACCAAAATGAATTCCAAATGTTTTCTCAAAATAAATAAAAAAAAAAACATTAACATTTAGTTCAAACTCATTCAAAACATCAACAATCGCAAAATACATATTTTTAAAACATATAATCCTTTGTATGCAAAGCTAAGTGAAAGTTTCTTTAACTGGAATGTAAACATCGTCAGAGTAGAAGCCTGTCTCAGTCTTTCTGTTTCAGGAAGACTGTTCAAGATTATAGAAGCATAAATGTTTATGCTACCACCCCATGTTTAGTCCTGACTATGGGACCAGCAGGAGGCCAGTCCCTGCGCTCCTCATATGGCACTAACGTGTCACAGATGAACAATTGTGCAATATTTGAGTCATAGTGAATCCATTATAGTTGATAATTGGACTAATCGACCAAGAATAACACGGTACGCTGTATTTACAATGTTTGCTCACTAATCAGCAAGTGAGCCTTTATTAGTCCCACAGTGAAGAAGAACACACACAAACACACCTGTGCTGCTGGCCAGGCTGCAGCTGGACAACCGGCTCAGTCTCTTCTCCAGATCCGATGTTTCCTGGAGGACCCGTTCTTCTTCTGAAACCGGATTTGCATCGGCTTTATTCAGAAAGAAAGAAGAAAATGTGTTCAATAAGTTTTGCAATTTGGTTGTTTTGGCAGAAGATGGTTTGTCTTAGGTTGGTGAACAGACATGGCAACAATCTTTATATTGTTTGAAATTGCGTTTATCACACTTGCTAATAAGATATTCATGAATGTGGTTGTGACAAGTTGCAACACTTCAAATTGATACAACTTCTATTTTCTGCAGTGGTACGAGTTGTTTTCATGCATGTTATTTGCTGCTCTGCCTTAGCCACAAGGGGTTGGAAGCAATTTTCTTTCTCAACAAATGAGGACTGCAGCATCAGGGAGTACACCATGACATGCTGCGTTTACATATGTCCCAGCACTTTTAGTTTTGCTTTAGCCTGGTGAAGATTGGTTTGTGTCCATCTGAATATGGATGATAATTAAGTTATAATTTCATCTCTAAAGGCTATGACCCATATAAATGAACTAATCTCTGCAAAATGTCCAACCTCAAAATATATTAACACCTTAATTTGAACAAAAATCAGCCTTGATTGTCACATCTAGAGCAAGTTATTAATAGTCTTAGAAGGAGGTGTGAGAGCAGGGCAGTGGGTCGGTCTGAATAGTGTTGACCTGAGATTCTGGGCACTAATGCAAACGTATGGCGCCAACTTTCTTCACTACGCTATGTGAAGTGTCAGCTAACTTTGCAATTGCAGCTAATTATAGTCACTTCAGGGTACTGTGTGGGTCCTAACATGACTTTGTATCAGAAAGGAAGACCGAAGATGCTTCCGTCTGCTATAAAGGGAGAATCTGTGGCATATACTCAAACATTTAGTACGTTTAAAAAGGTGTATTTGTGCAACTTTGAATGTGAAAAAAGTTGATATTAGCAGAAACAACCTTCCAAACAGTTGATCATATAGCATCCTTGAGACCACTTTGAAGGAAAAATTATGTTATACTTCCACTTTTTATAAACAATGCTTTATTATTATCATTATTTAAGTATAGTGCTTTATTTGGACACTCAAAGATGCTTTTACATGGCATTATTCGTTCACTCCATACACAGTGGTGATAAAACTACTGTGGGTGAAGTGTCTTGCCTAAGTACACAACGGCAGTCTGGCAGTCACAGCCAGGCCACTGTGGCACCTGGAGGTCCCAGAGGTCTCCACACTAACCAGTCTGGTTTAAACTAGGGATGTACCGAATCCAGGATTTGGGTTCGGCCGAATATTGGCTTTTTTGACGGGGTGCGGTTTCTGGCCGAACCTTAGAATTTTTCCCCACCGAACCCAAACCCTGCACTTACACTATGCGCGCTGTGGCTGTTGGATTCGTCACGGAAATCAGATTAGTTCGGAAGTGTAAATAAACATGCACTTTAGCGGATGTTTATATCCTCTTGCTCTCTGTTCCTCTTTGGGTGCGCTGGAGGTCTCTTCCTGGTCATGTGAACCCCGCGGTCTTATACGCCGGTGCGAGGGGATGTTATGATTCTTGTTTTCACCTGTAATGCGGTTCTGATGGGATCATAAACTAACTTAGCCTGGCACTGCCAGACCCTTGTAGTTCCGCCATGCTCCACCAGAGGCGTTTGGCTGAACCACATGGGTCTGGTATCGAGCCCATAGCAAACGCCTTCCCCAGATTATTTTTTTAAATCGACCAATCAGGATTGCCGGTGTTACGTGGGTTCTGCGCTGCCTCCTCAAGCTTCTCTCAAGCAGCAGCGAGAGGAATCCAAGATGGCGGACGTAAAGTCCGCGAATCTTTTTAAAAGAGTAAATACGATCAAATTAAGACACGGATGTCACTTTTAATGCAATTTGAGGCGAGATGTAGATGGTTCTATGTTGATACAGTATATGTGTGTTTTAAGAGTCAAATGTTCCTGTAAAGTTTGGTTGAAGCACTGGTTCAGTGTTCCTGTTTACACACTATGCAGCAGGGTTGCCAGGTTTGGTGGTTCCCGCATATTTTTTTCCAAGAGACTTGTAGGTATTAAATAAACAGAAAGACAATAAACAGAATCATGATAGCCCAAGTTGATGAAATTACGTTTTTTTTAAATTAGTGTTTTTTTTTGGGGGGGTTTTCTCGCGGATTTTGGGTTGGAAAATCTTGCTGGGATTTGGCAACCTATGGGAGCCGTGTGCTTCGATATGAGTGGTTGAAAGCAGACTTCATTCAAGATAACGGACAAGTGGTCTATCCAATCACATACAAGGATTTTTTTACAAGGCCCTGCCTTCTGAAATCCAACCACTGTGGCTCAGTACCAGACTCATGTGTGAAGTGCAGCGAACTACATGGGTCTGGCGAGAGTCAGGCTAAAACTAACTGCCTATTCACCAACTTTATGGAGCCGATTACCAGTGCCAGGTACTTGTCATCTGACCTGCGTATGACTGTAGAAGCAGAGTTGGTGAGTCCATGTTTAGGCAACTAGCCTCCTAGCATTAGCTTGTCTCTACGAGTTTGGCATATTTCTCAAATGTCCATATATGTAATGTTTTGACCATAGACTGTATATATTAACGGACAGAGTCACGCCTATCTCCGGCGTTCTAACTAATGGGCCAAAAAATGTGCTCTACTGGAGCAATCCAAAATGGCCGCGAGTGGTCCCGCCCACAAGAAAATTGTGAAAAAACGCATCTGCGCATGCGTCAGCCGGTGCAACTCCATTCATTTGAACGAGAGACTAGAGTGGACCAAAAAAATTCACTCCCCTCAGCATTGACACACATGTGGAACGGAGCTTTGGGCCAAGAGCCAACTTTTGGTCCATCCTGTAAAGACGTTTTTGAGAGGTCTGCCAATGCTATATGTTAGCATTGGCTAATTCTACTTCTGGGTCCACCCCATGGATGTATTATATTAACTGGATAGGGTATTACTAGCTTGTAGCTGAATAACTCATGTGCTCAGGGGATTCTCGCGGTACTGCAGACTGAACCAGACTAAATTCACGTGGGCTACCCAGAATTTTTCCCCATAGAACTCAATGCATATTAAAACAGCTCGACCTCAGCTGACAGAGAACCTACAGCTTTAATAAAGATCGGATTTTGTGGGGATTTTAGTGTCCCTTGTCATCCTTAACTTTTTTTCTTCTTAAATCTTTCGGTTTTGTTTAAATCCACACTTTAGTGCCACAAACTCTGCTCCTCTGGCTCTCGCTCTAACTCCCGCTCTGATGAACTTCTCTGATTGGTCAGAGCACGGCCGAGCCCCTCTGTGCACGTGCGTGAGACCCGGTGTGAGACCCACACACGCGTGTTTGGCGCAACGCATTATGGGAGATCCTCCACTGCACAGAACCGGGAGGACCAGACGATGCCCAAATACAGGCGAGTTTCCCATAGATCTTTGCGAGTTTCAGGCAACTTCCGCTAATCTTTCAGCCCCCATGCTGTCACAAAGCGCCACTGAGCACAACCATTCATTTGAATAGGGCGCCATCTTGGATCGCCGGGGCTTGGTCCACCCCCATCGGCCCGGGGTGGTATTGTAAGCATGTCAGCGCACGTCATTTTGGCGACTTTTGAGCTGGGACCCTCCCCCACTGGTTTTGACCTGAACCAGTGGAAGCTATTTATGCATGTATGGTGCTTTAGCTCTTATTTTTACATGACATGCACAGTAATATATGTACTTTATCTTTATGTACTTATCTGAAGTTTTACACTGCTGTGAACTGAATGTATTTGTGTTTAATGATAAGCGGGATTATTATAAATGTTATAATAATAGATTCTGGTCGAGCTACATGTTTAATTTGCAATGTCCATTTGTCTCGTGGTGGTAAGGACCCTAAACAGTACACAACATCGCCAGTTCGCCACTGTTAAAACATTTGCGTATGAAACATTAATGGACTGAGGATGGAATAGGATTCGGTATTCAGGTTCGGATTCGGCAGAATCTTAACCAGTGGATTCGGTATTCGGCCGAACCCCAAAAACCTGGATTCGGTACATCCCTAGTTTAAACACTCCTTTTGAATTCTGTCACACAACACCAAATATATTAGTAATTATATATTGCACGGCCGGTTGGTTGCCCAGCCAGCAGGCAGGTAGGATTTTGCAAGAACTAATAGAAGGATTGAGCTGAAATGTGGATGATATGGCAGGAAGACCCCATAATGGGTTAGGGTTGGCGGGGTATGTGCTCTCCGAGTGCATGCTCATGGTTTATGATTACGATTTAGGCACAACTCTACACATAAAAATATAATCTATATCTTTAGCTCATGAAGAAGTATAAACCAGTATTCTCTAGTGCACAAATATATGTTGTATGTATCTGTAGATAAATCTGTAATACACTGAGGTAGTAATTTAATAGTTTTGACTTCACAGTATCTTTAGCATCTTTTTAGGGAGCTGTCACTTCCTCCTCGTGTTTCCCCTCTATTCACCTGTCACTAGTAAATGGTTTTCGGATGCCAGTAAAATTAGTTTTATGGTACAACAGTCCCAGTGTCACAGACAAAGCCCTGACCCTGCGCTCCACAGGTGACCTCAGAGACCCAACATGTTTTCACACACACCTTCTCCTCATTCTGTCACGCAATACAATGGTCGTAAACATTTAAACGTTAATTTTAGACATCGGAACATGTCTTTTGCGAGTAATCTTTAGGGCGTTTGCGATTTCACCTGGATTGGCCGGATGCAGACGTTGTGAGCTCCGATTCAGCGAGACTCCTCTCACGATACAGTCGACCAGGAAACTGATCTGCTCCCCGTCTGAACTCGACAAGTAAAAAACTCCAGACCCTGGGGAAGAAAGATAAATATTTCAATAATATCACATCAGGGCTTCTATTCATTTCAATTCATTGCATTTTTGTATAGCCCTCAATCACAACAGCAGTCGTCTCAAAGACCTTTACAAAGCTGTGGATTAACAAACACCTAGGAGACATTGGTCCACAGGGAGAGGAATGACCATACATTTTAATAAATGACCCTAAATGTTCTGGATTGTCACTGTCCTTGGACCCTCTTACATCAGCGAGGAAGGACTCAAAAAACAAAGCAAAAAGTCTTCTCAAACTGGTGTTTAAATGTGAGAATTAGTGACATATTTTACATGCAACACGAGGCATCGAGAGAGGTTTGAGGACCGGGTAATATTTCACACACAGATTGAGAAAATATTTGTGAAAGTCAGTCCAAACAGCGGGCGTGTCAGTGGTCAGAGGAGGCAGCCAGTGTCTTGGTTGAAAGAGAATATTTTACTCAAAAACAAGAACTACTCCAAAAATTGAAAAAAATTGAACATTTGAAGAGACTTCAGCCCTAACCCTTTGCATTTCTTCTGTCGTCTCTCGGTGGGAGATTGCTTTGAACACTTTTGGAATCTACAGTTGTGCTTGAAAGTTGACACACCCAGGCAGATGAGATTTTTTATTTTTTAGTTAGAGATTTTGAATGATAAACTTTTCTCCCCACACCTATTGTTAGAGATTGTGTGTAGCGATAAATTGTCAATTCAACGTGAACAATTTTTTTGTAGAGACGCCCATCCCTCTAGGTCAGCTAAAATCTATTACTTTTCACAATAAATTGCAGAGATGGGGAGATTGACAGTTACTCATCGCCTTATTCATCGGTAAAAAGCAGATTAATCCCAACTTGAAAATAACACACATACACTAGAACATCATGTGCATGTAATATATAAATGTTCTGCATACACAGTAATACCTTCATGTTGTTTATCCCAACAGAAAGGGTATCATAAAAGTAACATCAAATCACAAAATTATTACAAAACATGGTATCTTTTGTATAATTGTAAGAAAGGTTTTTTGCTGGGAGCTTGATGGCTGACTGAGGGTGGTCCTTTCTATTGTACTTTTCTGTTAGAAAAAGCTGCTGTTAAGATGCCAAAAATAGATACATGTGAAAAATAGTGTTGGGATGAGTTACATTAATTTTAGTGCATTTATTATGTGGTTCAAAAGTTAGGTACTCCAGCTTTAAGCATATACAAAACAGATGTAATCTTCCTCATGCCCAAAACAAAACCAAATCTAACTGGATTACAAAAGAGTAGACAATGTAAGGACGAGAATACTTTTTTCCATCTATAATTTAAATAAATCCACCAGTCATTCGTCTTCTGCTTTACGTTGGCCTGTATTTATTTGAGTGTATGATACCCTGTTCATGAACGTGACTGTTGATTTATCACAAATCTATGCTACTATATATTTTTTAAATCCCTCAAAGTGAAAATCAAACCAGACGGGTTTAAAAGCAGTATATGGTGGGAGGTTGTAGCAGGTTAAAAACACACAAACCATCACATTTTCCCAGATGTATTTCTGAGGTCACAGGAAGCTGCACAGACTGAGCAGGTAGTGTTCCATTTAAAGGTAATTCAGTATTCCGCAGCGAAACCCATCAGAGAAACCTAAAACTGTCTAAACACAAATATAATGAGGTGAAATGCAGCACTTGTGCATGCCACACTTGTCTCTCTTCTGTCATGACTCACCATCACAAATGGTTCATAAAAAATATTGCAATAAACTCTGAAATGTACACAATTACATAAAGCTAAGTGCCTAACTTTAACACCAGTAAAAATGTTGTAGATTTCATGCATGTATTTTTGGCCTCTGTCACATATTTTCAGTGAGAAAACAGAAAGAGAGGACCACCCACACTCTGCCCAAAGCATCAAAGAGTCACTCACAAGAATAAAAAAGTGAATGTTGTTCTTGAACTAACTATCGTACACATAGTTAATACAGGACAGAGTGCTATATTTATATTTACATGACATTGTTGTAGTTTAGGTGTCGATAGATATTTTGTTCCTGCTTATCCTAGTAATATAGTTAGTTTTAGCTGTGGATGTTTGAAGAATTAACTTTTCCATACAACTGTATATACTTAGAGCTGGGGTAGCATACTTTTAAAGAAAAAATAAGCAATACAATCAATCTAACTAGTTTCTAGCTCTTAAACAGTTTGTTTCAAAGAATAGTTTTCACATGCATGTATGTTTTGCCTCTGGCATCTTTAGATCAGCTTTATCAAATTAAAAAAGAGGACCACTCTTTTTCTACTCTATGTGGGAATGGAGTAGAAGAAGAGTGGTCCTCAAATATTGACGCACAGGCTCTTTTACAATTATGGCAAGTGGCATCAGAGTTTTTCATAAGAAATTACTTTTAACCCCCTTTATAACGTAATGAAATTTGAGTGACAGGAAAAATCTGATATTTGGAGAAAATTATCATATGGGGTAGTGATATAGAATCCAGACTTTTTTTGAGACCTAAGAAGATGTGTTTTTATTCATTCAAATGTGATAAAACTGGTTTTCTTTCGTATGGATCCCTAGTTTAGTGTAGTAATAGTAAGTGCAACAACCACAGCAGGATCCAGTATACAGTGCTCCTACCTGACCTCATTACTCTTATATGTTACAACTAATTTTAGTCAGGACTAATCGCCCTTGAGCTGTTGACTACTGTCTTGGCGTCTGCTCCGAGAAACTTCATAGTTTGGCAACGATTTGTGCATTCAGATCTCAGCTCTAAAGTGACCAGAATGAAAATTTGATTTGAAAGACTTTGATCGCCCGCAGCTGCTACTCAAGATTTCAAAATTACTGATAAACTTCAAGAGAATATTTGCTGACAGATCAAAATGGCTTTAAATGAGATCACAAGCATTGACGGCCGTCCAAACAGACCAGAGGTGATGTATTACAGCGTCTGCACGTGTGGGGGGGTGATAATCCTCCAAATACCTGTCCCACGACGGCACAGGCCATGCTCCAAACAGAATGTGACCCCATTTTTTTACGCTAAAGCATTGAGTGAGTGTTTCCTTTCACCATTGTGTATGTTTGTGGAAATGCCTATAGGCTGTGGTCATGGAGCTCATGTCAAAACTATGTTATAGATTGCAGTAAATGGGATTTGTAGGGTCACTTTGGATTAGTCTTGTCAATGCTGTTTCATCCAATTGTCTGCAGAAAGCTTACTGCTATATTGTCCATGATAATAGGGTCATATGCAGGGTACGTCAGCCACCCAGGTCCACAAAGACCAAATCACTGGAGCAGAGGATTTTCTACGGTGGCTTCTGGAGGGGGGATGTTGTAAATAGTAATGTATATGCGAAAAGAATGTCAGGCGGGGTAAATTAATCTGAACTTTCCACTTATGCAACTGTAGGAATGTGTTCCCATGTGCTATCAAAATACAAACAAACATGTGCATACGTAAATCTACACTTGCATCCAGTTAAGAAACATAAGAAAACATCCTATTTGTGCAACTTCTCTGGGACAGAACCAGACGACCAACTGAAGAGAAACACATTTATAACAAAACCAGACAGGAGGACTTAGTGTACGAATCTCAGAAGAGAAAAGAAATTATTGCACAAAAGAGAAATGTGAAGTGACAACCACACATGTTCAGCCACAGAAAAGACAACAACAAATTTAAATCCACAATTGTATTTACACCTTAAAAATATTGGTCAAATTGATTAATTGGAATAAAGTACACATGATAAAATGTATCTTTGCAGTATTGAATGTGGAGCCTTTGTGTAATTTGTAACACTCACTGTAGGATACTGGTGCAGGACAGTGACAAAAGCCCAAGTGATGAGCCCAGTGACCACTGGAGGCTGGAGTATTAATAGTTGTTCATGAGGACAGTGAAATCAGAGCTTTAGGATCTGTTTCTGCAGAAGGCTCTGAGCTGCAGCCCGCACATCGTCAAACACATTCTATCTGAATAAAACATGGATCAATTGGACTCAGGTGAGTCGTGTGTTTTGACAAACAAATTAAGTGTACATCAATAAGTAATCTGAAAAAGGACACAATGGAATGGACCACATTATTTACTGTTCTAATTGTCAACTATCTTCAGAGATTCAGAGCATAGTTCTATAGAAAACACGAGTCGCAATTAGGCATGTCGCAATATTCAATAAATCAATTAATTGCATGATAATTAAAATTGGCTCGATAATTTTTCTGGCCGCGATAAACGCCATTTGCATGCTTGTTTGTTTCCCTCGTCTCTGTCTCTCGGGTCAGAGAGCCACAAAGTGGTCACGGGGACATTAGCCGTCTAGTGAGCAGAGTGCAAATACTCAAGAATACAAAATACAAAACACAGCCAAAACAGAAGCTAAACCAGGACTAAACCAGGATTGAACAATGGGGGACACAGTGCTTGTGAACATATGCCAGCCTGAGTTCTCATTCTCTAGTAGTGACTAAACTAGCACAGCTAGCGTTAGCGTGTTCGCTGATGCGGAAGTACCGTTTAATAATAAAATTAACTTATGGTGCACCTCCGTGAACACGTACTGCTGTTATATAAAGTCTGTGGAAGGTCTCTGGACACAGAGACGCTGCAGCTGCATTCTTGGAGAAGAACTGTACATAAAAAGCCGCTAGTTTAACTCCATTAGCATCAAAGCCCGCCCGCTACTTCCGCCACTTCCGGTGGGCACCACTGCAGGACTTCTGGTCTGAACACCCCTGCGTCTGAAAATGTAGAAAATGTGCGTCTAGTGCGTGCAGAAGCTGCGTTGCAGCCATAGACTGTATATATTAACGGACAGAGTCACGCCAATCTCCGCCGTTCTAACTAATGGGCCAAAACATGTGCTCTACTGGAGCTATCCAAAATGGCCGCAAGTGGTCCCGCCCACGAGAACATTGTGAAAAAACTAGTGCTGTCCAACGATTAAAATATTTAATCGCGATTAAAATATGTAAATAATCGCGATTAAAATATTTAATTAATCACGATTAAAATATTTTATTAATTGTGATTAATCGCATGAATTTCATAGTTAACTCGTGATTAATCGCAAATTAGTCACACATTTGTATCTATTCTTTATGTCCCTCGAATTAATTAAAATAAAATAAAAATAATAAAATAAAATAAAAAATGAATGAATAAGTAGATAAATATAATAATAACATGAATAATATGTGCATATGTGCATATAATGATAATACACAAGTCAGGGTAAGCGAAAGCTTATTTTAATGCATGACACGTTTAGTTAAGAAAAACACTTGGAAAAAGGAACAAAATAAGAGAGGGAATGGGCCGGGCGTGGGCTCCCTCCCCCCCTATTTGGGGTGGGGGCCTGCTTGGGGGTCTGTGTGTGTGTCGGATTTGGTTTTGATGTTGGCTGGGTTCCGCTTACTGTAGCTTGGTGAAACTCAGGCGGGCAGACTTTATATCTTATCTTATCTGTGGGGTGTATGTGTGTGTGTGTGTGTGTGGAGTGTGTGTGTTTATGGGTGTGGGTGTGTGTGTGTGTGTGTGTGTGTATGTGTGGGTATAGACCATAGACTGTATAGAAACATGGTGTCATTATGATGATGATAAACAATCTGTAAATATTTTGTAAATTTGTTCATGTAAATACTCAATCAATCAATTTATTTGAGCAGGTCATACAAAACAAAAAACAATCCAATAGGAATACATTTAAAGAAAAAGTAGACACAGCTCAAAGGGAGTAAGCCGAAGTAAAATACTTGTGTGAGCTTACCCCAATTACATTTTCATATCGTTTTTCAATTTAGGTGTGTGTTGTGTGTAGTGTGCGGTGTGTGTGCGTGTAGTGTGTTGTGCGCAGTGCGTTGTGTGTGTGTGCCGGAGTGGGTACACATGCATGCGTGTATATGTTTGTTTCTGATAGTGCATGAGTGCTGTGTGTATTTGTATGTGTACTTGTGTTTATGCCTGGGTATAAGTGTATGTTTGTGTTTGTGTGGATGCACCCAGATTGAAATGTATTTGTGCATGTGTGCCTGAGTGGGTATATGCAGTGTGTGTGTGTGTGCACATTTGTTAGCCATGAGCATATCCAGAGATGTGTTTGCATGTACTACACATGTATGTGTCCCTCCCGAGCTTGAGCTTCACACATGCACGCGTCCACACCCCTCAGTGTCTGAGCACATGCTTGTGCCATGAAGATCCAGCTGTAGGAAAACCGTAAGCGCGCACACACCTGACACAGTGTGCACGTGTCTACAGATATTTATCACCTGCATATTCTCACATTCGTAAACATGAGCATATACAGCAAGTGCTGTACATTGTGCCAATAAATAAGGTCATTTCAGTAAACAGAAACTCCAAGCAGGCTACAGTAGGAAGTCTACTGTATACGCAACCTTCTTCAACTTCATATTTTTTAAATACGCTTACCTTATACAGTCTTTTGAAATTCACTAATGAGGTAGTGCATTTAAGACAATCCGTTAATTCATTCCATAAGTCCACTCCCCTTCGGGTAATGAACATGTTTTTTAAAGTAGTACGAACACGCTGTTTCTTAAAGTTCAGTTGGCCTCTTAGATTGTATTTTGAGTCCCTTTCAAGGAACAGGTTTTGTATATGGTTTGGAAGCAATTTGTTTCGAGCTTTGTACATGATCTGTAATGTTTTATATATCAACCAGATCTTCAAACTTCATTATCTTTGATTGCAGAAACAGCGGGTTTGTGTGCTCCCTATAACCAGTATTGTGTATGATTCTTAAAGCCTTTTTTTGCATGATGAAGATGTCTTTGAGATTATGTTTGTAAGTATTTCCCCATATTTCGGTACAGTAACTAATATAGGGCAGGACGAGCGTGCAGTAAACTGTGTGCGATGCTCTTGTATCCAGGAGATGTCTAGATTTCCTCATTATTGCAATAGATTTGGCTATCTTTTTTTAACACTATTAATTTGTGGTTTCCAGCATAGCTTCTGGTCAATAATGACTCCAAGGAAATTATGTTCATAGACACGTTTCTATGATTTATCTTTAATCATTAGTTTGGGTTCTGTGGTAATTTTTTTATTTCCACACCATGAATTTGGTTTTCTTTAGATTAAGTGATAATTTATTGCCGTCAAACCAATCTTTAATTTTTGTCAGTTCCATGGAGACCTCGGCCAGTAGCTGTTGCAGGTTTGTTCCAGCGCATAAGATGGTGGTATTATCGGCAAAAAGTACTAATTTTAACTTTAGAAATTACACCCAAGTCATTAATATACAATAAAAACAAAATTGGCCCGAGCACAGAGCCCTGAGGCACTCCACACATAATTGGCCTCAAAGTTGATTTGTACTCACCAATCTGTACAAACTGATGTCTGTCTGTCAGATAGGACTTAAGCCACTGTAGAGGGCAACCTCTTATTCCTTTTTTTTTCCAATTTTTTAATCAAGATACTATGGTCTATCGTGTCAAATGCCTTTTTTAGGTCAATGAAAATAGCAAGAGAATATTTCTGTTTTTTCTATAGTGTCAATCATAGCCAAGGTAGTGGAGCGGTTCTCTCTAAATTTTTCAAGGATTTTTGATATTTGCAGCAGCAATGAGATTGGCCTATGGTTGTGAAAAGAATGTTTGTCACCATTTTTTCTATGCTGTTTCTCTGTTTACTTTCGGTATATCTATAACTGTAAACTGTTTGCTTGTATTGCCTTTTTTATTAACAACCCCCCCCCCCCCCCCCCCCCCCTCCTCCTATGTGCCCTTCTGGGTTTCTTCTTTGGCCCCCTGTATCTCCAACTACATATTGTTTGTAATTTCTGTCTACAATGTATCTGAACTAGTCATTTTCTTTGTTTCTATTTTTTTTTTCTGTATATGTGTTTGTTTGTATGTGTAAAAAAATTTTTTTTTTTTTTTTAATCGCGCAATAAAAAAATGACGCCGTTAATATTGATTTGCGTTAACGCGATATTTTGGACAGCATTAGAAAAAACGCATCTGTACTTGCGTCAGCCGGCGCAGCTCCATTCATTTGAACGAGAAACTTCCAAAATTCACAGCAATTAAACTAGAGTGGACCAAAAAAATTCACCCCCCTCAGCATTGACACACATGTGGAACAGAGCTTTATGGCCTGTTGAGGCATCTGTTTCATAACTTTGTTTACAAAGGTTCTGGCAGTCCGAGACAATATACAAAGTCATATATAAGCCCATCTTTAAAACAAATGACTGCACACAACAGTAAACACTATAAATAAAGAGAATGTTACATCTTCTATATGTGTCATCTCCTCACCCACAGCAGACTGTCTGCCATTCTTTACATAGAACACCACTTCCACTGGATCTCACAAAAGTGCTTTAGGTCATTTATAGACTGAATTTCAACAGCTGTGCAATAATGCTTTGATACATTATCTGGCAGTAGGCCTTATTCCTTCTGCAGTGATGTGAAGGCTGGTCACTGAGAGACTGGGTACGAGCACTTCAGTGGCACAGGGTTACATTTACTTTATTCTTTTTTATTTACTAATCGTTGTGTCTGTATCGACCATAGTTGTGTTACTCACAGTATCCACAGCGAGAGCCTCCCTCAAACACAAATCCATTTGGGACGGCTCCGTATCGTCTCAGCGAGGACAGCTTCCAGTGTCCAGTGACCAGAGGAGGCAGACCTCTGCTGAGGACCAGCACACTGTTGCACAGGTGAAGAGACGCAGGTCCAGCCTCTAGTTTAGATCCAGGCTCCACGTTCACACTAAACCTGTGGACTAAACATGACATTTATTCCACGGCCAAGCACAGCGCTACATGTTAAATACATTTGAAACGTATTGTTGGAATTGAGACATAGTTTACCCTACTACTATAATAACTCGATTTATCATTCTTTTCAATAAGCCATCAAATGAAAACGTCAATATTGTGAGACGATGTGTCACATATTTGAATATTGGGCCTCTCTTTAAATCAGTGGCTTTGATTCAAATGTATTTCAAATCAGCACTTTTTTGTTTAAACTTAATTGCTCCTGTAGGTGTTGTGTTCCTTCCAAAATCCGTATAACTAACAAGGCGTGTCAAACATGTGGCACATGTCGCCAACAGTTGGCGATGATTATGAAGTGAAGTCTGTAGCAGCTGCCTGAGCACCACCCTGCTTCACACTGTGTGCATGACCACTTATAGCACTAGATCACGGCTGAATTTTGGAGAATTTGTTACCAATTCCAAACCAGGCACCCACCAGAGAAAATAGAACAGTTTGGTTCTTTCACTAGTTTTCATCTGTTATTATCATTATGCGCCATTTCAGACAGAAAAGTAAAAATGAGAGGACCACCCTCCCTCAGCCATCAGTTTTCCAAAAAAGTCAAAAGGTGACTCCCAGGGCTTTTTCTTACAAGTATAGCATAGATGGAGACAGCATGTTGTGGTGTGATTTGTTCACAACTAATTCTGTCGCTGCCACCCCCACATTTGACACTGGTGATGGTGTACTGAGGGTGATGAGCAGACCTTGGTAACTAACATGTACAGTATGTTTCTGGCCAGTTTCCATCGCTTATGTTACCTACAAAATATTACATCTACAGCACGGGTACGAAACAGAGGCGGCTGAGAGGATTTGATTCCATAAGCATCTTTGATTGTCGTGAAAATAGCCATATACAGTAAGCAGCATGCATCATTATTATTGTTGTAACAGTAACAGACCTTCTCCGAGGTGGAAGCGGATGCGTGCATCCCAGGCCTGCAGCGCCTCTCTGCTGCTGAAGCCCAGGACCAGCGTGTGGGACAGACACAGGATGGACAGACTGTAGGACACTCCATCAAACCCTGGGGCCGGCTCCACTCCACACACACCCTGAGGAAACATGGCACTGTGCTGGGAAACGACTGGAGTGGATGTGACGTTTCAAGATCAAAAAACTTTTCAGGTGAATACGAGATATAACATTAAAGTGGACATATCGTGTTTTCAAATAATTGATTTTTACATCTAAATCATTAATTTGTGGCCTATATAAAGCGTAACTGCAATGCCTGGGTCTGAGTCTCATTATTTGTAGCTCCACGGGCCTTTCTTCTACACCTGTTCTGAGGTGCATCTGAGAGCAACCTGTTTTGGTGCTGTCTCTTTAAATGCAAATGAGGCGCTTTTGACCACGCCCCCATCCAGGTGACACAGGTTCAACTCCACCCCGAGCGGCCATTTTCGTAGTTTCTAAGCACAGATACAATTATCTCTTCATAGAAACTTCTCATTACATCGCAAACATGAAGCAGGCCTTCCTCATTGACTGAAAGCAAATGTTAATTTCTCTAGATCTGCGGTTTTTGCAGCAAAACGACATGCCCAACTTTTCTGCCCGTTGAAAAATAACAAAATCATGTTTCATTTTGCTTCACATTTATTTCTTGTTTGTGAACTTTTATTTAAAAAATCGAAATAAAAGACAAAAAAACATGTGTAAAAGTTCAAGCTGTGTTAATCCTTTTGCGAGGCTCTGTAATTATAAAGTTTAAGAGACCCTTTATTCGTCCCACAGTGGGGAAATGTCAGTGTTGCATCACCGGTTACAGGGCAGTAAGAATGAGGAGCACACAACTGAAAGCAAATGTTAATTTTCATTCTTAGTCCAATCTTATTATCGACTCTTCTCTTTTTAGCTTTGGGATCCATGCACACAGTCAAGGCAAGGAAAGGCAAGTTTATTTATATAGCACAATTCATACACAAGGCAATTCAAAGTGCTGAACAAAATAAGAAAGCATTAAAATCATAAATAATCACAGAACATGAAAAAGAAAGATAAAAATATAAAATCCCTCAGTTGTAGCACAGCTAAACAGAACTGTCTTTAACCTGGTTTTAAACATTGTCAGAGAGGAGGCCTGTCTCACATCTTCAGGAAGACTGTTCCAGATTTTAGCAGCATGAATCTGAAAAGCAGCCTCCCCATGTTTAGTCCTGACTCTGGGCACTAACAGGAGTCCAGTCCCTGTGCTCCTCAGAGTCCCAGCAGGAGTCCAGTCCCTGCATGTGCTCCTCAGAGTCCGGGCTGGTTCGTATGGTACTAACATGTCACTAATATATTTTGGTGCGAGGCCATGGAGAGACTTGTACACAAGCAGAGCTCACATATGACGCACTACGTTGACAGAAATGTTTAAATTGAATATTACTTATGCACAATTTTACAGCATTTAAAAACGTTAAGAACGTTTTTCCTTCTAGGAAAAAGACGCATTCACCTCCGGAGCCGCATGTTGCCGACCCCTAGTCTATACAGTATGTGGAAGCAAATACTGTAGAGGATCAGGATATGTGCAGTTTCAACAATAAAATAAAATGCAATAGTCTACATTACAAGACAGTAATGAACATGTCTCAGAGTGAGGGAGGTGGACACAGACAACACTATTGTTTGTTACAGGGATGAGAATTGGTCAAAAAAGACTGAAATGTATATTGTCAGCCATTTGCTGGCTCTAAATCTGTTTTATTTGTTCACAACATATTACTTTTGGGCTCAAACATGAACTTTTAATGCAATGCAAAATTTAGGTATCAGAGCTTTATTTAGGGCGTTTTATCGCGCTTCGAGAGGAGAGGGGAGACGCGGACCGTTTCCTGCAGCAGTGTATTTATTGGGTGCACAGAGAACTCAAAGACACGCATGGTCCTGTGCGCGTTTATGGGGTTGGGTACATGGCCACGTTGAGGCTGCGCGCTCAGCCACAACACGGTGGAGCGGCTGCGAGCTGACTCACAGCCTCTCGCAGCCGCTGGACGCGGAACCTGCTCATTACAAAGCGGCCGCTGATGCCCCGAAACACTGCGGCCGCTGAGGTGGCGGAATCCCGTTCGAGTACATACAGCAGGTGCCCCGCGGATACGCGCGCCCTGCTCGAACAATTCTCAACGGATTTACACTTCTCATAAACATGTGTTTTGTATGAGGCAGACAGACCGGCCCAAATATGGGCATTGGCCCTTTGGGCATTGCCCGGTACGCCCGATGGCCAGTCCAGCCCTGTTCGCTGGCATCCTTGAGCTTGGACTACAAATTCGAAGTGATGCACAGTAGAGGAGGGCTGGGCCGAAGTGTTTTGTTAGACGCCCATGCCCTTATATAGCAGTCTCGCTGCAAACACTGTGACGTAATAGTTCTAAACACGTAATAGAGAATGGCAAAATCAGAACGGGTTGAAAAATCTTACCTAAACAGAATATGAAGTGTTCTCTGCAACCCATGAAGAGACTGATTTCAACTTTTTTGCACTTCTAGAGGCTCCAACTACACAACATCAGGCATTTAAGACACAAAAAGTGGATTTTTCATGATATGTCCCCTTTAAGGCAAATCTGGGCAGATGAAGAATTACGCACCAATTCTTGCCCTCAAGTGGTGCTGCTCATAAATTTACAAAGTATTTTCCAGCTCACCATTATTCAAACTCTGAGCACTGAGCCATTAAATGCTCAGAATTACATACTTGACTTAATATATTAAGGTGCGACACATCTTCACTTCAAAAGTACACCGCAAAAGTATTTTTTGCATCAATAGTACAGAATTCAATAGTATCGAGTCTGATTACTGTAAGCGTAACAAAGACTATGGGGTCAAGAGTGCAAAAAAATATTACCATCCCTTAAAAAGGATGTCTGCAACTTCGATTGGCCTTCAAAAAACGTCTCTCCATCCTCACAAATAGAAAAGCAACTGATTTTCACTTTAAATTTGGGTGGTCTCATTGTCACTTATCTGTTTTTTAGACTTGACAGACTTCAAGACTTTCACTATCAACTCCCACTGTCTGCTGTCGTTGTGTCCTTGGCAAGACACTTAACCTCTGGGAACACCTGATGCCACAGTGGGGCGGCTGTAAAGTGCCAAACTGCCGTTGTGTCCTTAGGCAAGACACTTTACCCCCATTGCCTAGAATGAGTCTGGTGTGTGTGTGAATGGTTGGTGGTGGTCGGAGGGGCCGATGGCACAGACTGGTTGCCTCACTTCTGTCAGTGTGCCCCAGGGCAGCTGTGGCTACAGTAGTAGTTTATCACCACCGTGTATGGAGTGAATGAATACATGTGAAGCGTCTTTGAGTGTCCAAATAAGCGCTATATCAAACCAATACCAAAGGGGTCGATCCTGGGACCTCTTCTGTTCAATCTCTACATGCTGCCGTTAGGTCAGTTAATACGCAGAAACGAAGTTTCCTATCACAACTATGCAGACGACACTCAGATCTATGTCTCACTGACTGCAGGAGAACATGGACCAGTGGACTCACTCCTTCACTGTATCCAACAGATCAGTGAGTGGATGCAAAACAACTTCCTTCAGCTAAACGCAGACAAAACTGAAATGATTGTCTTTGGTCCCCAAAAACAAAGAGAGAGCGTCATCTGTCATCTACAGTCTCTCTCCCTAAAACCTTCAAACAAGGTCAGAAATCTAGGGGTAATACTGGACTCAGACTTAAATTTTAATAGCCACATCAAATCAGTAACATCAGCAGCTTTTTACCATCTAAACAACATTGCCAGGATCAAAAACATAGTGTCTAAAGCAGACTTGGAGATTCTTATCCATGCATTTGTCTCCAGTAGGTTAGACTACTGCAATGGCCTGCTCACAGGTCTGTCCAAACAGGCTGTAAAACAGCTGCAGTACATTCAAAATGCAGCAGCTCGAGTCCTGACTAGAACCAGGAAGTACGACCACATTAGTCCGGTCCTCAGGTCTCTGCACTGGCTTCCTGTGGCTCAGAGAATAGACTTTAAAACAGCTCTGCTTGTGTACAAATCTCTCCATGGCCTCGCACCAAAATATTAGCAACATGTTAGTCCCATATGAACCAGCCCGGACTCTGAGGAGCACAGGGACTGGACTCCTGTTAGTATCCAGATTCAGAACTAAACATGGGGAGGCTGCTTTTCAGATTCATGCTGCTAAAATCTGGAACAATCTTCCTGAAGATGTGAGACAGGCCTCCTCAATGACAATGTTTAAAACCAGGTTAAAGACAGTTCTGTTTAGCTGTGCATACAACTGAGGGATTTTATATTTTAAGCTTTCTTTTTAATGTTCTGTGATTGTTTATGATTTTAATTCTTTCTTATTTTGTTAAGCACTTTAAGTTGCCGTGTGTATGAATTGTGCTATAGAAATAAACTTGCCTTGCCTTGCATTATTATCATTATTATTCTACATTTAAAATGAGATACCCCCAGTTATCAGTTTGAATCAACCAGTCTATGTATGTTTTTATTTTGTTCAAACACACGCTTGCTTTATTGATTAACACCCACCCCTTTAGCATTTAAGAATAAGTCAGTGATTATCCAGTCAAGTTGTCTTCTGTGACACTAGTATGAATATGCAGTGTTAAGCCCATGATTTCATGTAATGCATCATTGTTGTTTCTCCAAATCCCTTATAATGACTAAGGTCTAAACATAGGCCTTACGACAGCAGACATAATGTACCTCCAGAGTCAAGCTGTCCTTCTGACCAATCCCCTTCTTGCTCTTCTTTTTGTCCTTTTTGTAGGCCACCAGGAACAGACAATCTGCAGCAGACACAACACAGACACCACAAGCTCAAAACAGCGACAGGCTTAAAAGTCAATTACAGTGGTCGTTAATAGAAGCAAAGTTACCATAATGTTTTAATCCTGTGTGAGTGTTCAGCTGTCAAAATACACTCTAAAACAATGAGCTGATTGGCTGCAGATGAAAACCACATTTTGCAGGTGATCCACAGAGACCCAGCAAGTGTCTAAGGTCTTGAGTTTTTCCTTTTAGAGTCTTTTTTTGCTGATGCAGTTGGGTCTAAGGACAGTAGTGACACTCAACATTCAACGATATTTATCTATTAAATACTCTAAAACCCCTAAACGAGAATGCAAATCAATGATTCATATGATCAAATAAAGTAATGCAACTCAATGACTTTCTTGAGGAAAAAACTAGGTCAAATTTTAGAATCAGCAAGGTAACTAACCTGAAGGACTGTTTCAATGTAGTACTGGAATGAAATGGTGCCGCTTTTGTGACAGCATTTATCAGTTTTATGATTTTGTTAAGCCAATATCCTGATTGAGCCTTTCTATGGATGTAATGAGACAATTTACAGCCAAGAATGTCCTCAAAGTTGTTCTGTTGTTAACAGATAACATTTTACATTTTCTCCCCTGACATCACCCATCACCAATCTAGCATTTTTACGTCCAATTCAATAACAAACTTACTGCACACTTAAATAATTTAATTTACCTCATATTCATTCATCTTTGTCTTTATACATTTTTTGAGTCGCTCTGAGCGTTCCATAATCATCCTTACAAATGTAGTTCTGAAATTATATTTCCTTCTGTGGTTATGTCCTCTGACATTTGAACCTCTCTTGAACATATATAAAACAATATTAAAATATCAACGTTGGTATTGGACAAAATACTCATAAAGATGAAGATCGCACAATAATACATAGGTCTGCAAAGGCTGAAGCTTTCCATCCCCATCATAATACACTCTAGTGACGCAAAGTCAAAATTATTAAATGCAAAATGCATGAGGATTTAGAACCATAAGCTGTTTACAAACTTATTTTCCCAGACTTTGGCAAAGTAGCTTCTTGGACGATGTTCAAATAATTAACATTTGTCACTGAGCTGGCGACAAAAGGCTGTGGGGATTAATATCCTCACTCCAGTTCAAGGAGGCGCGGGGTTTTGGTGAACTAAAGTCCAATCCATCACTGCACGAACCACCGGAGGAACAGTGTGGAAACTGCTGATTCACATTTGGCACCACGTAAGGTCAAGAGAATCTGCCTTTCAGATGAGCTCTCCGGACCTCATTGACACTACTGTGCACATCGATTTCTATCTGGAAACATGTCCAGCTAAAAAAGTGACTGAATCATAAAGACGTTTTTTATAGGTTAACCGTCTATTAGACTACATGTATCGGCTAGTTTTTATAGTACATAGTTCAGGCCTACTGTTGAGGAAAGAAACGTACATTACCTGCAACTGGAGAAGGCTTTCGCAGCACAACCCAGCGAGTCTTCCACTGCGAAAAACAAATATAGAACTAACATGCGTCCGATCTGTGAAATAGAAATAATACAAACGAAATTCAAGTCTTTTCCGAACCTTTTTTCCATCTCTAAACTTGACTTGACCCTCCGCGACAACTGTATCCGTCATCTTCAGTCATGGTTCCGAGCAGCTGAGTTCCATGAGCCCAGACCAGACCCCTCAGACACGGGGCAGGGGCAGGGGGCAGGCTCTGGGGAGGGGGTCCGCAGTTCAAAATAGACTTTACTGCCCCCTGGCCCCACCGCAGACCGGAGTTTCAGTGCAGTTGTCATCGTGCGTCAAGCCCGTGTGTTTACAGCTAACCAAACTCAATTAAACACGTGCGCGAATACCTCCGGGTGTCTCGCGCTGATGGCACGTGCGCGGGACCCGGAAATGGGCGATAATCTAGTGTTAAATGCTTATTATTATAGATCCATGGTTAAATGTGGTTTGTTTTGGGGCTTTGGGAAGATAATTCAACCCTGATTATAGTAAACTAGAATTATATGAAAAGGTCTGTTTTAAAGTAATAACTGAAAAATATGCCAAATGATATCGCGAATAAATGTGTACTTGCCGCCATATGCATATTTGTTTGGTGACAATGAACTGAAGTGGAATCTAAACGTTGTTGTATGTTGTGTAGAATTATGACATAAGCATATGGTCTCGGAAAAATCCCAGTTTTTAGGCATAGGGACGGCACATGTGGAAGTTGTCGCTGTTTTTGATAAAATGAACAACCTTCAACAGTAGAAAGATGTATTTATTGTAATTTGTCATACCAAAATAATGAACAAGGTGACTGGAAATGATCAAAACGCGGTCTCAAAAATTAAACTAATTTATGAGCAGGGCCAGTTCAAGTGTTTGTGGAGCCTGAAGCATTAAATGTTGGGACGGGCCCCCTTTTGTACTGCCGAATTAAATCATTAAGTCTATGGTGAATGTTCCTCCCAGCATTCTTTCTTTATTCTGTATTTTCCCCAAGTTATACTTTAATACTTGTGTGGTAGAGTTGGCTGTAACGTGTTTGTTGCAATCCCTGTGAGAGGTGTAAATGAGCCATGATAATGAGTATTATGTGGACTTTTCACAATGTACCATCATTACCAGCCTCCAATGTAGACATTAGACTCTGGCATTGATGTTTCACTTTAAAATTACAACTTGACATTTATTAGCTGCTAGTGACATTAATACTGCATTGTCTTGAACCAGATAGATGCTAATCTGCCTCCTTAGCGTGTGAAAATATGCCACACACATGTAATGGCCGATCTATGCACCAGTGTCATCCTTGTCTGAAACAGGACCCTCTAAACAAACGTGGCCCTCGCAGCATGGCCCTTGACCTCCTTTGGGTCTGGATGTCTCTTGGCTTGGACCATGGACGGTTCTTCTGAAGTCTGGTACACCGCTGACCTCATCCTGCCGCCGCGCCCTCTTAACTCCAGGGCAACACCTTCCCACTTCTTGTCCAGGTCTGGGTCCCGCTGGTGATTTCGAAGGTCCCTTGAGCCTCTGTGCGTGGGCCTGCGTTGGTCTTCAGGGTCGGAGGAGTTCCCGATCCGGTCCAGATCCAGGGCCCGCTTTGCTGCGTGGGATCTGGACAAGGGGGACTTGGACTTGCGTCGGGAGCGGACAGGGGCACGCTGTGGGCGAGCAGGCGAGGAAGACGCTGGGGTGGGCTTGGATGCGGTTCTCCGATTGGGAACCCTTGAATCTCCACTGTTTCCTTTCCAGCGGTCTCGGTCTTTGCCTAAATGGGAGAATCCTGCTTATAAACCAGACTGAGAGAATTGGGAAAGTGGCACAGTAGTCAGGGGCACCTCAAACATGCAAAACAAGAATTAGGGCTCTGACGCATTAAGAAAACATGCAAGCAAGAAGCACTTTGTTCAATATTGCAACAACTATAAGCAATTCATTCTAAATGCTGTGTCCCCGAGGCCAAACTTTCTAAACAAATTACAAAAAAGATTTTTTATTATTATTTTTTTTTTACAGAATGAGCTTTTTGGATCACACATTTAAATTTAATTAATTTGTCTATTTTTGTAATGCACTACTTTGTTCCCAAAAATAAGAATAATGATGAGGACAATAATAGAATTAGTAAATATTACTGTCTGTAAAAAATATTTACATTCTATGGTAAAAACACAGTTCTCTGTGTTCTCTCTGATGCAGGAGACTGTCTCAGTGGGTTATCTGGTCCTGGCAGCTGCAGACTCCCTCACTCAGACCCTGCTGGATCAGAGGGATCCCAGCGCAGAGCTCTTGGCGCAGACTTCATGGGAAACAGGACGAGATTGTGCTGAAATATCTGCATCACTTTAAAACGTAAAAGAGAGTGTCACGCATTCATGCAGGCGGCTGCCATCTACTGGTGATGAGAATAATAACATGTTTGTCCCCTTGTGTATCAAATCAATCAAGCATCATACGTTGCACCTTTTCAAGTCAAGTTTCTTACTATAGTATTTCCTAATAATATTTTATTATATCATGCAACATTGATGCCACTCGCAAAATCCCCAAAAAGCAAGTGGGTTATCTCCATGTGTTTGTTTGAATGCACATTGGATGCACGCAGCTCTGATACTTCCTGTCTGTATTTCACCACCAGCAGATGGTGCCATTTGAAATGAAAGACTTTAATTGGATTGGAGCTCAAGGGAGCAATTACTGGTTGGCTCTGAGCATAGGCTGTGGGAAAAGGTCTATTGAGATGCATTAATTTCACAACTTATTAGAAGGGGATTTTTCTTGGAATTACTTGAAAGGTTAGGGATTTAATTCTAAATGAATGCAAGTCTTTGTAAAAGACACAAATATATCTCGAATAAGACGTCATTAGACTATCTCCATTGTTCTGCCTGTTTTGGCTCTGTAATGTCTGCTTTGGCACTGGTGTGGTGTGAGCTGGCTTTCAGAGGTCTGTGGTTAAAACTGTTCTCTACACTCTAAAATTTACTCACACAATATTTTGGCATTTACAGTTTTAGCAAAGGAAAAGGAACCATCTACATGCTGGGATGCATTTCTCAATAGAATTAATGTGTCAAAGAAAGGAAATGTGTTATGTTTGAGCAGTTTTAAAAGGACCAGCATGACAAAGCTTGTCTAACAAGGCATGGAGCTGGGGGGAACCCATGCATAACTAATGCCCCTGTCCCCCAAAAGCCTTTGTACCCTCAAACAAAAGTGCTGTTCTGCTGTGACTAGGGCCACAAACAGGGAAAGATGGAGATACCGATGCAGTAACGTCAGATTATCCCAGAATGCTCTTTTACTCTTGGTTGATGGCTGCTGATAGTAACTTTGCATGGATAGTCATATTTCCTGTCTGTTAGCAGAAAAGAGCTGGAGGCCACAGTGAGACATCTAAACACATGACTAACAGCGAGAGAATAGAACAAATTATTTCTGTCTAAGAAAAGAAACGGAGGCAGCTCACATGAGGCTCCACAGAGAGTTCAGTCTCTAATAACCATTTATTTGATCTATTTACAAACAGTACAGGCAGCGGAACAAAGGAGGCTTTTTCTATTGAAACACAACCCAAAGCAGTTAAACAATAACTACCGTCGCATTGTTGACTATATACAAATAATACTGTTATTAACATTAAGTAAAATGATCTGGGATAAATTACCACTTGAATGAAAATATAGTACATGATTAAAGTTACATAAACCTTTACAAAGTGATGCAAGTCCCGTTTTCCAGCTATGATGAAGTGAGTACTGCGTTATGTAGTGCAATCAAAAAGCTATGAAACTAAATAGACTAATTTGAACTTTCACATAAGACTAAATGTACACTGTGTGTCTGAAATACAAATGAGCCTGAGGTGATACAGGACGGATAATGTTCTGTGCTTTAGGTTTTAAAATAGGTCTACGGCAGCATGTCTGCACTTGGCATGGAACAATGTATTTGGAGTCTTCAATTTATGCTTTTTTGATTTATAAAAAAGAAAAAGAAATGTTCCTACAAATAAATCAAATGACAGCAATCTTTGTAATATAACCAATTTTTCCAGAAAATGGCATAATTGACAAATTAGTTGTAGTCACGGTGAACAGTTCTGCATGACTTGGGGCGAATGAGTCTGTGGTGGAGCACTGCTTTGACTTTAAACAGTCAATCTGTAACCTGTACCCAGAATAATGACAAACTGTAAAAGACAAACATGATGGACCAATAACATGAGTTTGCTTGTAGCTGACTAAAGTGCATTGTGAAAGATGTACTGGTGAAAGAAAACTCGCCCTCAACATAACTCAATTACCACAATGAAAGTCCATGTCTTAGAAGTGCACACAGATACACACCACACAGAAAAGTCCTACCCAATGCATCCATTGTATATACATTGATTATATTTTCACTTTTTGCAGTACAAAATCTTTCTTTACTTCTGTATTTACTCAGCAGTTCTTATATTTGTATGCAGAAATATGTGCACGAATGGATTTGGTACGGACACTGGTCAATAAAGGTTTTTTACGCTCTGGATGCAAAGTGGGCAGTTCAGACCATTTTCTGGATCTGATGTGAAAGTGACATCTGGAAAAGGAAGCTGGAGGAGAAGAGCACTTCACAGAGGTCACACAGGGGATGTACCTGAGCTGGGCCTAGTGTCCTGTGCCTGGTGTGGAGTGTGTGGCAGGGGTTTGCACTGCAGAGAGGAGGGAGTGACGTAGTTGAGGCTGGGGCTGTCTATGTCTCCTTCTCCCACAAGAGTCAGATCCGACAGGGCGTCCTCCTCCAGCATGTACACAGACTCCCCCCTGTGTGAGTCCGGCAGCAGAGCGGAGTGTCGCTGATTGCCCTGTGGCGCCTGGATGGGGGACATGGAGTCGGGGAACAGGGGAGGAGCTCTGCCTCTCCTCCTTCCTCCCCTGTCATTGGTCAGCGCTGAGTCCAGGCTCTGGGACTGATGGCTCGCATTGAGCAAGTGTGCACCCCCTCCACCTTTGTCACTGCCGTCGACCTTATTGCCACGGCGACCGCTAATGGGGAAGCTGCCGTTGTTAGGGTGACAGGAGTTGGGGGTGGAGCTACTGGGTTCCATTGGCGACAAACGTAGGAAGTCAGGGAGCTGCAGGTCACTCTTATTTAGCAGGCCTCTCTGGTCGTCTGCTCGGTTACTCTGAGCTTTGGATATGAGGTCGAAGAACTCTGGATGAACATGACAAAAAAGCAAAAACAGCATGCACATACAACATTTGGGTTAAAAATGTCAAATAACTTTGGAATAGTTTTAAGTAACTATTTTAAGAAACATGCAAAGGATGTTAGTCAAGGCAAAGCTACATTCTCTGTGAGTGTGCTACACGGAGCTAGCTTTGGAAGGAGTAGCAATAAAGGGTAAAGTTTAATGTATTACAACGACACAGCTAAAGAAACTACACAACACAAAAAGAGCTTGTTCAGTGGTTACCTTCAGCTTCATCTATATTAATCTTTTTCTGCTTTCTTTTCTCCGGAGCCTTAAGAAGAGACACAGAGTGGTTGGGTAAGGGCGGACAGCTTGTATCAGAGCTTGGCCGAGCTTTGCCATTCTCCCCATGGGAATGGGCTGAACTGGCTTTCCCTGAAGGCCCGTCCTCCCCCTGAGAGCCACAAGGAGAGCGAAGTAGGGCGTTAGAGCCCTGGTAAGTTACCAAGATTCAAATATGGGAAATGTGATGACAACAAGGCCGGAGCACATTATGTGGCCCTATTTTAAAACATTCAACACATATTGGTATGTCTTCAAAGACAGAAGGATGTTCCATTGAGACGAATGTCTATCCAATCTTCAACACAAACAACTTCAAAACCAACAAATTCGACCAGAACTACCTGCTATATCCAGTCGGACAGGAGGATTAGACAACTAAACTACAAACTACTTCCTAACTCCTAACTCCAGGTCCAGTTTATGTTGAGTTTGTGATGAAAGATCAAGGAGAGCAAAATGATGCAACCAGCCAATAGTGAGACAGACATGTCATGTGGCTTCACAAACAGTGCACATACTGTTACACACAGTTACAGCATGACAAATGTTACACCTGGACAGATGTGATGTAGTGCGGACAGTGGGAAAGACACTTAGTGGCGTGACATCATAAACAGGAAGTGGAGACATTCGCTTGGTTATGGAACATTCCAGTGCAAGACAATAACTTGTATTGTGCAGAATGAAATCTTACTGTTGTTGATTGATTTCTGACAGTTGACGCAGGAGTGTGGCTCTTTGCAGGCCCTACTTTCTGTTTATCTGCACAAAACATACAAGTGAATAATAAGGGGTTAGATTAATCCATCATATTTATCTGATAAATAAGGTCACTATGTTCATTACCTTTCCCAGGAAACTTATCTGCTACATCTAATACCACTCGTAGTCCATCCAGATTGGATATAGGAAGACCTAAATCTAACGGCTCTGACTCCCCGCTCTGTATGACACACAGGAACAGGTGAGGTCAAGGCACAAACACAGTCGACACACTGGTAGAACCTCAAACTTACAATATATGCAGCTAAGTCTGGAAGGTGCAAGCCGTATTTGGCGACCACAGGCCGTAGAACCTCAGTCACAGGTTTGGTGGGCTTTGCCTTTAAACCCACCGAACGGTTAATAGGGACTAGATCAAGTCTGTTTAAAAGATAAATAAAAAGAGTTTTGCATCATAATATAATTAAGATTTTTAATAATTTGGATAAACAAGTCAAATGAAAGCGTAAAACCTCACCTGAAAAGAGTGCGTTTCTCTAAACGTAGGTCACGAGAACACAGTGTCATACAGTCTTGGTCCAAAACCAATGGCTGCATGAGAGAAAAGAAAAAAAAGTTAAAATAGTCTAGTTAATAAACTTGTTTTCATGTCACATTCGATATTGTATATACCTTTTCGCCCCCCACCAGAAAGAGGTCTATAGCTGCCAGATTAATGCAAAGCTTCTCACAGAGCCCCAGCATCAGATCTCTGATAGACACTCCGGACCTCAGGGGCACAGAGCAACACGAGCCGTCCGGCAAGCTTATGTTGCACTGCCTCAAGGGGGCGCTGCTGCCTCCTCGCTCAGCACCTCGAGAGGTATCCACCTAACAAAGTTAAAGGAACAATATGTAAAAATCTGGCCAAAAGTGGTACTGCAGTCACAGTCAATATTTTGTAGTCCTCTCCCACTCTCCCTGACTCAGGTTGCCAGATTCACACCAAATCCAGCAGCAAACACAGGGAATTATTTTATCAGTTGTTTGTCCGTCTCCATTCACATTGCCATGACAGCCGTGCTAATGCTGAATGAATGTTTTGATTAATGTTTTTTTATTATTATTATTTGGACATTTGAGATAAAAAACAAAAACAAAATAAAAGCAATGTAATTATACATAGTTTATGCAAAATAAATAAGCAATTGATGTCCAAAATAGGAGTGGGAAGAATGGATGTTGGAACGTATTTCTTCAGCGTATCAACATCAGGGTTTGCTCAAGAGGATATCACCTTTCAATTTTATTTATTCCCTATTTTTTAGACAAACATGTAAAAGTTCCACATCAAAAAGAGACTAACATTATTTTAATTGGGGTACATGTGGTCTTAAATTATTATTTTTACAATTAAGCTATAATCTGCAAAAAAACGTCTTGACCTTCATCTTTTACCGTTTTTAGAGCAATCTGTCATAGAATGTGATAACATGCAATAAATACAAAAAGACATAGCCCGGGATCGAACTCGGGTTCCTGCATCGTAAGCGCACAGTTTTGAACATTAGACCACCGATTCACACGAATAGAGACACTGTGAAGAACGGACTCAAACTAGAAAATTCTGCATCACACGTGAACTTTTAATAGCCACATCAAATCAGTAACATCAGCAGCTTTTTACCATCTAAAAAACATTGCCAGGATCAAAAACATAGTGTCTAAAGCAGACTTGGAGATTCTTATCCATGCATTTGTCTCCAGTAGGTTAGACTACTGCAATGGCCTGCTCACAGGTCTGTCCAAACAGGCTGTAAAACAGCTGCAGTACATTCAAAATGCAGCAGCTCGAGTCCTGACTAGAACCAGGAAGTACGACCATATTAGTCCGGTCCTCAGGTCTCTGCACTGGCTTCCTGTGGCTCAGAGAATAGACTTTAAAACAGCTCTGCTTGTGTACAAGTCTCTCCATGGCCTCGCACCAAAATATATTAGTGACATGTTAGTCCCATATGAACCAGCCCGGACTCTGAGGAGCACAGGGACTGGACTCCTGTTAGTGCCCAGAGTCAGAACTAAACATGGGGAGGCTGCTTTTCAGATTCATGCTGCTAAAATCTGGAACAGTCTTCCTGAAGATGTGAGACAGGCCTCCTCTCTGACTATGTTTAAAACCAAGTTAAAATCTGTGCTGTTTAGCTGTGCATGCAACTGAGGGATTTTATATTTTTATCTTTCTTTTTAATGTTCTGTGATTATTTATGATTTTAATGCTATCTTGTTCAGCACTTTGAGTTGCCTTGTGTATGAATTGTGCTATACAAATAAACATGCCTTGCCTTGCCTTGAACTTTTATCAGCTGTCTCAATTGTTCAAAGGTGTCCCGATATAAATCCTCGTTTTAGTCTTTGTTTTGTCATTAATGATTTGAGAGTCATAACAAGACCTTTTTTAGTTCTGCGCCACATGTTATTTTACCACTGAGATGAATGAGTCGCGCGGAGTTCTGGCAACCCGATCACGGACTTACATGACACTTCCTGATTGGCGAAACGGCGGAGGGTAGGACATCAAAATCAAAACAATAACAACTTTTACGGGTCGTAAAACTAATTTTGATAATCAAATATCTCGGCTGAACTACTGTTATCAGTTAAAGATGAATTCGAAAAGAGTATGATTTAATAACGCCTTTTGAAATATTCGGGTCATTTAATGATGACTTGACATGCAAATATTACATATTGCTCCTTTAATGAAGGAGAGCTTTAATGTATGTTACAATATACAGAGTGAAGATGTGATTTTATCGATGCATTAATATGTGTGTGTTTTTTTTTCACACTTAAAGAGTCATGGATAGCTCCGACACTTCCTGTTTTGATGCACATCATACACATACTTATGCCCATGTCAACAAAAATAATGTATCGCTATCAGGATCTGTGGCTATATCGGTACTTTGTAGAGAAGACGTTTGCAGCATGTGAGTCCGAGCCAGTGGACTCGCATTACTGCACTCATTTTTAAAAACAAATCACTTTTGTTAAATACAGAAGATTCAAAGTTTGTAATCTGAGTGAAGCCAGTTTGAACGAAAAAACACATTATGTCTTCTTTATGGTTTGGACTAACCTCATTCTTTCCTGATCCAGATGTCCCAAGTTCTAAACTTGTTCCCGATGAGAGAGAGCCCTGAGATTCTCTGCGTCCATTGCTCCCAGAATAATCTGAATGAGTAAAATCAGTCACCTACAGAAATTGTACAATTTTAAAGTTTTTCACCATCACACTCACTGTAGTTGAAATCGGCCAGCTCTCGTTTCTTTGGCCCTTTCCCAAAGCTCCTATTGCGTGACCAGGAGAAGAACATGCCCTTCTTCCTATCTCCTGTATCATCACGACTATCCTCATTCAGAGAGCGGCCAGACTTGCTCTTTTTGTCTTCCTGTAACACCAGCCAACATATAAGGAAGAACAAACCCAAATGACAAATAATGTTCTGTTTGAAAAAAAGCTCAAACAGAACCATGTTTATTCAGATAACCATAAATATGCATTTCTTGACTTCATACAAAGCAACATCTTGAGGTTTTCACAGAGGGCACAGTGTACCTTCTTAGGAGTGGAGAGGTTGGAGCGGTCGGAGCCTGTGGTGCTGTGCTTTGACGTGGGGCTGCTGGGGATGTGATAGGGGTCTGGGAGGGGCCTGCCCTCCACCTCTGCCAGCATACACTCTTGATACAGCAAGGACTTCAGGAACCGGGTGTAGCTGTCAAACTTCATTAGATTAAAGATCTAAAGGGAAGGAACCAATTATATTTAGTTAAAGCAGACAGACCAAAACACAGTAGACATAATGCATTTTGAAAAGACTTAAGAACATGAATGATAAGATAAGAATAAGTCTTTATTTCAGACTGCAGAGCCTAAAGTTGAGCAGCACATAAGAATGTGTTTAATGTGTGATGAGGCTGGTGCATTTTCTTTATGCCATGTGACTCTAATCATAGTTTAAACATCTGAACTCTGCAGACAAATCAATAGCTCTTTTAGAAGCTTTCCCTCTTTACAACAGACTAATCTATTCACTTCCGTGAAGCCACACAGCGAGACAGCAGACTGTCCTGTGTGAGTGCTTAATCTTATTATACTTCTGAACCTTAATGGAAGTGTATTTTGATACACTTTTATGTGCACTTCTTGGAAAGGGTTCGTTGTATGAGAGGCTGCACATCCTATGTGTCGTTTATGTGCTGCAGATGACAGATGTATTGTATGTGCAGTGGACAGGACCTGCAGTTGTTGCTCCTTGAACATGTCGGGTCGTGGGGCATTGAGAATATCATCAGCGAGCTGAGCCTGACTGTCTATGTTCACCGGAGTCGTAGCTTTACTTGAGAGGAAGCTGTTGTAGATCTCTCTGGCACGCTGAGACAGCTGTGGAGAAACAGTCTTGTGTTTTACTAAACAAGTGTTATGAGCCATCCTGAGCAAAGCAGAGTGTGTTTCCAGTGGTACCTGCTTCTTGTCATTCTCAGGGACATGACTGAAGAACTCACAGGCCTGCCAGAACAGGATGTTCTCCTCACTAAACTCCTTCTTGAGGAATTCCTTCAATCAGTGACAAATAAGGTTACATGGATCAATGGGACAGTAAACGTGACAGACATGACTGAAAATATGTTGATGTGCAGTTTGACTCATTGCACAGGGACAGTACCGAGAAGTATCGCACTCCCACAGGGTCCTGCAGCAGCCGCTCGAAGCACACGGCCCAGCTCGCCACTCTGCGGTCGGTGTGGCGGCGGTGGCTCTGGACGCTGGGCAGACTGGCATTACTATTCAGGCTGTTGTCACTGCTGCAGCCCTGCAGCTCCACACTGTTCAGCTCTACACAGAAACATGCTCTCATCACTGATCTGCACATGTACAGGGTGTCAGTAACGACTTATACATATGAATAAATATAATGGACCACTGGGCTGCCACCTTTCTTATTTTGCAAAGAGAGGAACGTACAGTACATACGCTTTCTATATTTGTATAAGTGTTGCAACCTGGAAAAAAAAAACCCATCTTTTTGTGGTTCAACAGTGAAGGGAACATTTTTTTTTAAACGTATTGTAAGAATCATTTATTATTGGAACAGAGCAGAAATGTACTAACTAACCAACTAAACTTTGCTGTAGTACTAAAGCAAAAGCCTTTTTGTGCTTCTTTGTCAATTTCAGTGTTAAAACTTGCAGACTGTGCTACATGACCAGGCCTGGAGGAAACCTGAAAATAACTCGGATGATGAGGCTGGAGGACACTTGAACTAAAGTGGGCTGCTCAGAGGAGATAACAGTGAATAGAAAGACATCCAGAGGGGAAGTGCTGATCAGGTGCCTGCGACAGTATAATGCTGAAAATACTAATCTGCCCTTAGCTCCTGTCATACGTGATTTAACACTGAATATTAATGTACACTTTGCTGGTTCCCTGTGCCTCTCACATGTTTATATATTTTTCAGTTTTTGCCTTGGCTCATTCAGCCCATTATGCAGTCATTGTCAATGGTTTTGGATGATGAAAAACTAGTGATCAGAAGCAGAGTAAACAACAAGACCGAATTTGACAAGATGGTTTTGGCTCGTTGACAAGTAGTTCAAAATTCTGCTGTGAGGCCTCTGACCTTCGCCCACATAGAGCCCATTTTACTACCATTTTAAAATCTTTAGTTTAGCTCCTTGGAAAGTGGGTGGAGAGGTCTTTCCTCAAGTGGAGGAGTTCAAGTATCTCCGGGTCTTGTTCACGAGTGAGGGAAGGATGGAGCGTGAGATTGACAGGCGGATCGGTGCAGCGTGCGCAGTGATGCGGTCGCTGTATCGGACCGTTGTGGTAAAGAGGGAGCTGAGCCGAAAGGCAAAGCTCTCGATTTACCGGTCAATCTTCGTCCCCTCCCTCACCTATGGTCATGAGCTGTGGGTAATGACCGAAAGAACAAGATCGCGGATACAAGCGGTCGAAATGAGCTTCCTCCGCAGAGTGGCTGGGCGCTCCCTTAGAGATAGGGTGAGGAGCTCAGTCACACGGGAGGAGCTCGGAGTAGAGCCGCTGCTTCTCCATGTCAAGAGGAACCAGCGGAGGTGGCTTGGGCATCTGTTCCGGATGCCTCCTGGACGCCTCCCTGGGGAGGTGTTCCGGGCACGTCCCACCGGGAGGAGGCCCGGAGAAGACCCAGGACACACTGGAGGGACTATGTCTCTCAGCTGGCCTGGGAACGCCTTGGGGTTCCCCCGGACGAGCTGGAGGAAGTGCGTGTGGATAGGGAAGTCTGGGCGTCTCTGCTTAGACTGCTGCCCCCGCGACCCGGCAACGGATGAAGCGGAAGAAAATGGATGGATGGATGGATAGTTCGGCTCCTTATCACATACAGAAACAAGTTTTTAAAAATCTTGTCTCGTCAGGAATATGTTAAGCATTATGGTTCTCCACTCAAACCTGGTAATGGTCTCTCCACACAAAATAAACCTGATGAGAGATCATGAGAGATCGTGTGAGGCTATAGAAATTCTCTTCTTTTGGATTGAGGACTGACCAGATAAGTTCACAAAGGTGAAGGTACAATTTACCAACTAAGTGAAACATTGAAAAAATTAGAAGAAATTGGGGGAAGGATTCCTTTAAATATAATAATTCTTATTGCAAAATCTCTAAGCAGTGGCATTGGAATAAACCTGCAGGATTCTTTCAAATATAGCTACAGACGTGTTTTAGAGAGGAAACGTTTTATTTACTGGTGGAGCTAATTTGTACCGTTTTGGTTTTATGGTTTGGTTTTATAGTGGATTAGATTGGGTTAAAAGGCTCACAAAAGTGTCTTTTTCCCTCATGCACATCAACAAAATAGTAATCTATCTGAGAAAATATAAAACCTGAGAATATGACAAATAGTTTCTGCATTTTTTGCACTGATTCACAATGATAATGTTGCCTTTAATCATCAGTAAAATAAAGAGAAAATCTGTCATTTCTGATGCATGATATTACTATTCAACTTTCACACTACAAAAAGAATTTCAGTTGAAATAAGTGATTGGATTAAGACCAAACCAAACCTGGTGGTAGTACTCATTTAACACCAATAAAACGTAGAGAGAATGGGAGAAATCCAACCCTTTGATTTTAAACAGATGACAAGCATTGAGGATGAGCAGAATGATTAAGTTCCCATAAAAAGCCACTCTGGTTATAATAAAAGTGGTTATAATAAAAGTCCTCAATTGGGACGCCAAGGAGTTTCATCCTTTAAGTCTTCACAGCACAACTTATTAATGTAATTTTTTACAGTGAATGCTTCCATCTTGATGAAATCAAACAATATGAACAATATTACATGAACAGACAGACAATCACTTGCTTCTAAAAGGATCATGATTATAGTTTTTTTAGTTATTACAATTAGATTATAACTTAATAATCCCAATAATTGGTTACAGTAAGCTAATCATCTTGACATCCCTTGTGACAACAATAAAACTATAGACCTATTCACTACAAAGGTCTTTCAACAAACTATCATCAACATCACCAAAGAAGTATGTAGTGTCCAACAAGGTTCTTTTTTTAGTACTTTTAGTCTTCAAAAATTATCAACTTGTAGAAAGAAGTATGTATATTATTTTGATTAGATGAATTATCCTTAATAAAGGACAAAACTACAGATAAAAGCCGACCACAAAGGCAAGGCAAGGCAAATTTATTTATAAAGCACCATTCATACAAAAGCAACCCATGCTTTACAGGCACAAAAAGGACATTGGCAAACAATAAAACATTATAGGAATAAAAACAAAGAAAGATGTATCTGAAATGGAAAGGTTTATCTTGGTTGTATATTTTGAAATTTAAATATTTTGACCTAATGCATACATAACACATTCTTGCAAAGGTCTAAAACTTTTTCAAAACCATTCAAATTCCAAGATCTCTCCAGTTTTTTCCATGACCAAATAGTGAATATTGCCACAACAGCCACAAATACTTTGTGCTTTGGCATTGTGCTTTTCTGAATATTGACTACATATTCCCAGTCTGCCACAGTGCGAATGCCTTTGCTAACGGTCCAACCTCACCTGGATAAAGCTGGTAGGAGCCTGTGTGATGCCAGCGGGGCAGGTATCGCATCCTGAGGGCCAAGAGACCCTCCATAATCCATACTCAAACTGCCAGAGCATCAAAAACGCTCCCAAAGACACACGCAGACAACAGCAGGAAACAAGTAAAAAAGCGATATGGAAAAACGCTAGACAATCGGAAAGAAGGGTCACAACATGGAGCCACAGGAAAGTAAGTGATCCAAGCAAACGAGCTGTGGGATTATGAATAATTTAGACGGCAAAGGAGCAGGTAGATACAGAAACGCACACCTGTATACAGGCTGCAGTATTTATAAGAGAGGCTTGTTAAAGAAAGGCCACGACTCACGAGAAATCGAGACCACCACCGCAGAAACGACTAAAATCTTATAAATTGACAAAGCAAAAGTTTGGATGAGTATGATGTGTTTGATTGCTTGATTAGCATAGTAAAAAGAAGGCTCCAAATGTTTGCATATATTTTGAATAGATACAATTGCATTTATTTTTGTATAGCTCTAAATCACAACAGCAGTCATCTCGGAGGACAAAGTTAATTTCCCAACAACAGATAAGAAAATAAAGCAGTCTGAACGCAGGAAATGCAATGATAAGAAACACATAGGAGCCATTGGTCCGTAGGGAAGCGGAGTGACCAATGCTGATATGTATAAATGTTCACAAATGTCCCAAAATGTCCCAGATCATCATTGTCATTAGACCCTTCCGCAAATAACAAAGAAAAATAAAGAAAAAAGTGAGGCCCAAAAGTAGAGAGGGATCTGCTCCACGGGCGGACGGGCTGTAGACCCAGGACTGATGACACACAGGCTCAGTTCTCAGGAAGACAAAGGCATTTAAAGACCACTAAAATAACCTTTAACTCGATCCTGAATGAACGAATGATTTTTTAGTCCCACAGTGGGGATCACAGTGAAATACACAATGCAGGGATTTTAAAACCTTATTTTTAATAATTGCAAACTTGAAAGGTTCTTATTGGGAAGGCCAGAGCACAGGGCATTATTGTAGTATGGTGATAAAGCATGATCAGCGCCTGCATCCGTGTACCGAAAGGGAATAAAAAAATAATAACAACAACTGCATGATGCATTTAAACAGTTCAACATTGAAACATATCATTCTAAATTGTAATTAGAATTAACATAGACTTAAAGTTTGGTCCATGTGCATTGTTGGTTTTGTTGAGTAGAATTTGTGACTCAATAGAAACATAAATGTAAATGTTTCACACTGATGTTGAATTAACTTTCGGATATTATTATTATTAATATTGTTATTACTGTCTTCAGACTTTAAGGGAACTGGAAGGTTTTTTTTGACCGAAGAAGGGGGATCATGGACAACTTTTTGTTCTACTTTTGGGAAGGTACCTGTTTGTCTCCAATGAATAATTAAACACTTTGGCTAGAACAATCTGACATTAAACTTATCAAAAGTACTACATTGCAGAAGTAGTTATTAAGACAGCACAATATACCACAATAAAAAAGTGGTAAAATGTGTATTATTTTTTGATGTTCTTGTTGAAAAATCAATGCAAATGCATAAGGCGAATTTAGGTATTTATACTTTGACAAGAGTGAAAAATGTATGTATACATGTACATGCTTATGTATGTTTGTTAAACGTATAATATGTACTTGAAATAGATGAATGGAACAGTGACACCCCCTGTAAACAAGCAACCACTTAAAGGGCAGAATGTAATCTTTGCTTTCTCTTTACAACTGGGTCTCAGTCAACCTATTTGACTAAGTTGAATAGAAAAATCAGATAATCAGATAACGGCCTTTCTTAAAGGGCGACGTAATAAAAATTGCTTATTGGTCCTCAATGCCTATCAACAAAAGCACAAAGTGTAATGCAATGTCACCTTTGACATTGATCCTTTTATTATCTGCCAAAAACAATACGGAAACAGACTGCCATCGAGACAAGATAGAGAAAATGTAATTTGAGAAAAACATTATATTGGATTAGCATAATCATCATCTTGTTGCACTGTAGTTAAGTATAATTTGAGTTGAGTGCGATCATGAATGTGAGTCTGCAGTATGTGCTTCCCAACGGACGGTTTAACAATGTTAATTGGACAAAGTGAACACACAACCTCTCATGCAGTAGATTCTCCGGTTCAGGATGTATTTTAACTACTTATGTGGCCTGACCTACTGTAATGTCAACCTGCTGGGATTACAGATGCTATGTTTACACATGGAACTCACAATTCACTGTACTCTACTGAGCCAAATTGATAAATTACTATTTTTATATTTAGAGAATAAAAAGTCGAATTGCCAAGACAAAACACATAACAGGTGTTTTTCCACATATGAACATTAAAGAATCACATGTAATCACTATGTAATAAAATCCTTGTAAATCTTTCCAGCTTTAAAAACACTTTGTTTCTATGACTAGTTTTCATGTGCATGCCTTTTTGGTTTCTCTCATATCTTTAGATCAGCCTTTTCAGTGAAAAAAGAGTGCCAGCCCTCACAGATAAAGACCACATAGCGTTGTGTTGTTCATAAAATATTACTTTAACAAAACTCTTTAGTTTAGCAAAAAACGTTTATTACTCCAGCTGGAATTAAAGTACAGCCAAAGCCAATTGTTGTAATTACGTGACAAATGCTATGAACGGGAATGTATAGGGGAAATGATCCAACAAACAAGAAGCTGTTTAAATGTTTTTTTCCCAATGATGAGGAGCAAACAATGACACCTTTTTATAACCCAAACTCAGCATGATTAACATGTACATTTAACCAACAGTTAATATCTCCAGCAGAGAGACCGCAACGACGAACCAACAAATGTGCCACTCTCATCTAACAGTCTCAGGCTCAAGGTGTGAAGAGCTAAAAACATAATCACTTTTACGCCTTTATTTGTGCAGCTTCTCACCTCCTCTTCCTCCTGTCTGCTGTAAATGAGCCTTTTATCTGCTCTAAAGGCGTCAAAGGCACTGTTAAAACTCAAGAATTGGGGAATGGCGGTTTCTGCTTTAGCGCTGAAGTGAGTTAACAGCTAAAAGTCTAAATGAAAAAGCGTCAGTGTAAACAATGGGGTGAGATGTGTCAGGTGGTAAATATCAATATATACATTTAGACACGTTGTTGTTCCTGGTGCATAAAATTAGAGATGTTTTTATTATTTTTTTTAACAAGCAATACTTTTTAGCTACATTGACAATAAAGACCTTCTTGTATGTATGGTGTGCAACTTAAAGCTGGGGTGCTTGACTTTTAAGCCACATGACAATGAAAAAACGGGGGTGACAGTGGCTCAGTTGATTGTATTGGCAAGACCTTTTCCTTTTCCCACTGATGTCTGCTGTCGTTGTGTCCTTGGGCAAGACATCTTACCCACTTTGCCTATGTGTGTATTCATTGAACTGAAATATCCCCTCTATGGGACGAATGAAGGACTACCTTTCTTTCTAATCTTTCTTTCTAATTCATCTAACTAGTTCCTCGCGCTCAAAAAAGTTTGGTTCAATTACTAGTGTTTGCATTCATGCATTTTTAGGCCCCTGCGTCAAATCTTTAGATCAGCTTTTGAAACAAGTGAAAAAGCCAATCAGCCCAAAGTGTCAAATCGTGACTCACAGGCCCCTAACAAGAATTAAAAATATAATGTTTTCTGATAAGATTAAGACAGCATGTTGTGGTCTGATTTAACTTTTACAAGACTCTCTCTGTTGGACAAACATGTTTTGATTACGAAACTAAGACAAGTTAGGAATCCGAGCTTTAAATACAGTAAAAAACAAGACAATTGAGAATCAACAAATGTTAACCGAATCAGAAGCTAATGGAATCAAATGTATTTTCAGAATAAATTGGATTGGGCTTTCATGCAAATCATGGTTCCCTTCCTCAGCAGGGCTTTGCGCAGGTCAAACCAGGCAAAGCCATTGTGCGCACTGTGCTCTAAGTGTTTGGCTGTTTGTAAACTAGAGAGATGAAAAGCAAAACCAAACAGAAAGTGTATCTTTATGAACTCACCTCCATCGGAGACTGCGGCAGACTGTAAAAAAACACAGAGAGACATGGGTTAGCGTGGTCCTTCATCGCCCGCTCATGGCACAGTGCAGCGCAGGGCTATAGGAGGCAGCTGTCTGGACATGTGCTTGTTTAACTACAGCTTCATCAAAACTGACAATCATCTCACACTTTCACATCACCACCATCGTGTCACGTGTGTGGGAGGAAGAGCTGAACTGGCTGCGCTGGCTCTACCAGTACACCTCCTCCTCCCTGCTCACTCAATCACTGACTAAAGGGTGTGGTGTGTCTGGGTGAAAAGAGAATTCTGGCCTAAACCTGCTCATAATATTGTGTATTGCATGGGACTAACTTTCAGTCATCTTGCATCATGGGAAAAGAATGGAGACAAATGCACGGGAAATAAGTAATGAACATATTTGTATGAAAACAAACATTGAATAATTCAAACTGATATAGTAAATACAATAATAATTCATCTGTTTTGTTTTTTTAACTGAAAGTGATGAGGAGTGTGAACCCAGATTCACTAACTTGATCAATGGGAATTATTTGGATCATCGATCATTAAGCTCTTCTCAATAGGGCTGGGTGAATCAGAACATACGATTTAAAACAATGTGATAAAATGTGATTATAGTTACATTTAACATAATGCTGCTCTATTTTCAATGCATTTTCTAAGGACATTATACTGTCTTATGTTCCATACCATGCTCCCCTTTCATCACATTTTGATCCACACAGCAAATGTATTGGGTGAGTGTTGTTGTTGTGGCCATGTCCATAAAATGGTTTGAGTTTAACCTTCTATCGAAAGTAAATTCATGTTTAGAAATTAGATTACATACTTCTTCCTTGAAATAAATCTCTCTTAATTTATTCTTTCTGTGAAGTGTTCTTACCCCAAAGCCATTTTCAATGTCCTAGTTAGGATAACAAAGTGATTCTTTCTTCACTGTAAAAAAGATGAAGACCTTTTTCATAGCTAATGAGGTTTGATGTGCAGTAATTCACAGAATTGTGAAATCATTTAAAGAGAATGCAGTTTCTCAGGCTCAATTACTGATGGCAAAGTTGGAAAGTATGGTTATAGTTTCTCCTGTGCTTTTCCGTCTTTTCTTTTATCCAACCAATTCAATTCAATTCAATAATCTATTGTCATTGTCACAAAAGCAACTAAATTACATTTAGAGCATCACCGTGATAACAATAACAATACAACATATTTGTTGCTAACAACCACACAGCCTATAATGTTTTGTTCCGTCAATAATTTAAACTCACTTTGATTTTGAATTAAAACAAAATTGGGAATGAATGTGAAATTTCCTTTTGAAAACGTTTTAGCTGTGTCTTGCTGGAAAATTCTGCTTGTGTGTTGGGCTGAGGAAATGTCTGTGCCACTAACCTCAGCAGAGGAAGCTGGTTACTTGATTCTCCCTCAGATTAAAGCTGTCTACATGTCACACATTTACATTAAGCACATGATGTTTCAGGGCATCTGGCTGACATATGTTGAACATTCTCTTGTCTTTCGATGTGGCTGCATTCCTGAGCCTTTGTGAAAATGTGTGTGTGTGTGCGAGCGTGTTTGTTTGAGTTAACCCACATCCCATTAGTTCAAATATGATGGCTTCCAGACAGACTGCAGTGCTGTGGTTTGGGCCTTGGTCCCCTCTACAGCCCCCTCTCCTCCTTTCAAACCCAAACTCATAACCTCAAAGGATCTACAAAGTTGGGCATGATTGTGCATGTGTGGTCACTGTGTTTACAAAGGACAAACAAAAAGTGAGTCACCAGGAATAAAACAGTTTACAGTGAGATAGAACTTTAATAATAAGACAATCCTATCATAGAGAAATAAACTAAAATGATGTAATTCAAATTTGGTTCGTCCAATTTATTTCACACTGTGGAGAAAAGCCATAGGAGGCCGTCCTGCACAATGAGTACAGGTCAAAGTCTAATTAAAAGAGTTTAAACTTGATTAATTGGCAAATCTTATTAAAAGACTAAGATAAATATATATCACACTCTGAATCAAGATAAAGACTTAATTATATCAACGCTATACGCTATAAAAGGCCTGAATTATGGATAAATGAGCCATAACTAGTGTTGTCCTCGCGCTGGAGCTGTGATGACAAACAGAACTGACCCCCACAGACATGATGAGTGGTCAGCCAATAATCCCCCATGAGAATCCATACTAAGCCCTTCCTTAATTCACAGTAGGAAGAGAAAAAAAAATGTGGCAGTCGGTTCTACTCATATGATGTCGTAATATAGTAATATAAAATAAAAAATAACAATCATATATGCACCACAGACACCCATATGTGTGCACTTATTCAAATCAAGCTTGAACATGAAATGAAAGAATAGCTTCAGTAGATTTTGTATTGAAATAATCTCTCCCTCTTCTGGAACATCCCCATCATTCCTGTCAGCCCACTGGGAATGAATGGGATTTTCTGGATTTTACCAACTAAAGAATCTCACCTCAGACCAATATCCATTAGATCTATGTCGCTGGAAAATTATAACTCAGAACACAGTGGCAATGCTGTTTTGATTTCCATGTTATTAATGTAGACAATAATAATCAAAATAAAATTGGAAAATGGATAAGTTGTTAGAAAGGGGTTACATTCAGTAAGTAAAAGGAATAAAGGAACCGGTTAGATTATGCATGTTTTTGTGTTGCTCTGTCTTTTGGAGGGTGTGTTCACACTTAGGTCCCAAGTGAACAAGAGTTCCCTTTAAATTAACCAATTATGGAAACCAAACAAGTACCGTAGCAACAGGTTCCTATTGCTGCGCTGCAGAACAAAAGAGATCCTTTGTTCCTTTGGCTATAAGACTATTTAACAGATCTGTCTGAGATCTTGTACACTTTATTACTATTGTTAGTAACTTTTAGAATTATGAATTTCTCCTAAGGGGATGAATAAAGCATCTATCCATCTGCCAATCAATCTACACTCCTCCAGTAATAGGGAACATGAGCTGGGATCAGGCCGTCGTGAGACAGGTTAGTTTTACCAACTGATGAGGTATTGTTTCAAAAGTATCCATGTAAAGAAATCCTCTAAGTCAGAAATCACAGAAGTGTAATTTATGGATTCTTTTGTTTTTGTAATCTACGTAATCAACTGGGAAAACTGGGTCATGCCCGACTGGGAGAGTGACATGGTTCTTCAGGTTAAATTGTTCTTTTCTTTGATTATTTATTAGGCGTGCTGGCATCATCCCATTTTATAAACTGAAAACAATAGTGATAGTGTGAAAAACATGTTTGCCCCGGGGATAGAGTGAAAAACATGTTAGAATGTGAAATGTTGTAGGTAACATGACTCGTTTATGTCGGTTACTGAAAGGAGGCGGTCTGTGTCCTGGTCCCTCGAGCTTTATTAGCTGTGAGTAGCAGGAACCAGAGAAGCTTACCTCATCTGTTATGAAGGTTTGAAATAATCCCAAACACATGTACAATTTATGGCCCCGCTTTTCACATTGTTATCATAACATTGTAATTGAACAACTGTAAAAGTCAGACCAGGGGGTCTAGGTTGATGCACACATGTATAGACATGTATGGCAATGTTGTTTCCAGGGATTGGACGCTCTGTTTTCAAGGACAAGAAACAGCTGGCAGTAAATGATCAGTGATACATTAAAAAGTCTGGATAGTTATTTAGATTCAGACAGCTTCCACCTCCCAAAATAAATATTTAAAACATGCATTAAAAACACCAGGGACTACAGGTGGAAATTAGCATCTCTGCTATAACCTGGTACATGCATCTCTCCTTTTGTGTTAATGCTTAACTGTACACTGTCCCAGTTCAAATAAAGTACATACAATACAATTAACTATTTTATATTGAACTTTGCAAACATCTTAATCACATTATACTTTTCAATACTCCCACCATGTTTGCAAACGATAAAAACGACTTCTAATAAGATGCAGTAACCAGCAACTTTGTTTTGAGCGGTTTTTCCAATCTATCAGTGCAGGGGAAAGTTATTTTACATAATTGCTTGAAAACTATCAGGATCTTTCAATTGAAAAAAAAAAAAACCCACAAATTTAACATATGAAGCAGATATGAAATGTATATCATTGATGGGATCATAGGGGGAATCACGTCATTTTTACTGGTTTTCTACTGGTTTGTGTCTGTGTTACAATTGTATATAATTTATACAACATTCCTGGCAACTGGGGGTGGGATATCTCCTAGTTAAGAAACACAGAGTCACGCCTATCTCCGCCGTTCTAACTAATGGGCCAAAAAATGTGCTCTACTGGAGCAATCCAAAATGGCCGCGAGTGGTCCCGCCCACAAGAAAATTGTGAAAACACGCATCTGCGCATGCGTCAGCCGGCGCAACTCCATTCATTTGAACGAGAGACTTAAAAAATTCACAGCAAGTAAACTAGAGTGGACCAAAAAAATCCACCCCCCTCAGCACTGACACACATGTGGAGCTTTGGGCCAAGAGCCAACTTTTGGACCATCGTGTAAAGACGTTTTTGAGAGATCTGCCAATGCTATATGTTAGCATTGGCTAATTCTACTTCTGGGTCCACCCCCATCGGCCCGGGGTGGTATTGCAAGCATGTCAGCGCACGTCATTTTGGCCACTTTTGAGCTGGGACCCGCCCCCACTGGGTTTAACCAACTGTTTTTGAAAATAAGATATTATTACATGAAGAGGAAGCCCAGTTCACCAGTAGGACAATCCAGTTGGAGCGGTGTTTTAAAAGTGGTAAATATACCAGTTTTGGATTTCGAAAGCAACCATTCCATTTCTATTTCCTTGACAGTCTTGTTGAGAGTTTAGGTTAAATACCAATTCTCTTTTTTGGAGCCAGTAGTCCCCAGGTGAAAATGCGACAGCCGTTAGATATATAATAATAGCAACCATTGCATCAACATGTTCTGAATATTATTAAGTCTACGTCAACGCTAACATCAAAGAAAGCAGGCAGTCCACGAGGTTAAACTCACA